CATTTTTAACTTAGTTAAGCCCAAGTAACGAGCCTGTTGCCTAGAATATCTTTCAGTTATCTTCTTTGATCTTTAAATATTAGTTTGATAAAAAGTTACATTGTTTGTGCCTCGTTTGTCAAACATAATTGTAAATTAGTTGAAATTTCAAAAGAATATTATTAAAGATGGGCGTGGTAATTGTCCGCCTGAAAGTTTACGATCGTTTTGAGAAATCTTTATAACAAATTTTGCATTTGTAGTGACCCAGTGTGTGTGTGTGTGTGTGTGTGTGTGTGTGTGTGTGTGTGTGAATATCCCGCTTTAAAACTGAACTTTAAAACCGATTTCGGTAAAAATTTTTTATACATCAGTTTCTATTATATCTTTTCCTCTTTAAAGCGTCCTTATGCTAATATCAACAAATTTAATATATCTCCTGCCTTATTTTCTTCAGAGACTGTAAGCAAGTATCACATTAAATATGAGTTACGGTAGAAAAATGTCATGATTATTATAATGCAATACATCTATTTGACTTGAAGAGTAATCAGAAGCTTAGGTGATTTCTTTTAAAACTTCAGCTTCATTTGCACAATTTTAACAACAATACTGAACTTAGTTACTTTTTTTTTTTTGAAAATTTTCTTTTACGGCCCTACACTTACATCAAAAATGGTTTACAAGAAAATATGATAGCAGTTTCAGTTTTGATATCCGGTTTCAGTTTTGATATCTTAACACGTTCACTGCCAGGCAAAGTTTCAAGAAAATCTCCGTCAGGCCATGCGTGCTGCTGTACTGCACTACTCCACATGCGGCGACTGAGACGCTTTAAACGTAGAGTTCAGTGTCAAGCACCATGGACGCGGCAGTCAACGTGTTAAACAATCACACTAAGCGAGTTTTTCATCCATAACTCGTTTAAAGCAATGGCTTCCAAAACTAAAACAGAGTGCAATGAACAAAATTATTATAGCGGATATCTTCATCATGCTTAGATGATGGTTTCCTAGAAATATTGCTTTAAATTTGTCAATGCTTCAATTACTTCATTGAAAGGCATTGATTTTTGACTGGAGCAAGACGAACATTTCGGAGTACATCTTAAACATGTATTTGCTGTTCGTTAAGAAGAAGCATTGGCCCTTTGCAGAATCATCGACAATATTTATCTCTCTATTGCTACTGAAACAGCAGTAAAAGAAATGACCTAAGCAAGACTAGACTACGATCAGCCGACTCCTGTACTTCCCAAGGCCATTATATGAACAAACGTTTACCCGCCATATATACAGTGACAAACTCTGTGCGCGGCAATCTGAAAATACCTAAAGTTGCATATAAAAGTCCTCAGATACTGAGTATTTACGCACTTGCATGATTAACACAAGGATGCTAGGATATTAGATACTTATAACGATCATCATGGTGCAAAAAATGGCGTAACTAATAGTAGGGGTAATATGAGTAACTTCATGAAAGTAATAATATTGGTACGGTTTTTTTTATCCATTTTTCATCAATTCTATGGCCACTAAAATTGTCTCTCTTTCTGGTCCCTCACGTTGGCTAAGTCATGTTATGTCTTATAGGATGATTGTTTAAGCTATAATAGAGCCACCTGTTAAATAGAATATATGATCCAATGCGACTACCGTCCTATTTTATTTTATTCTCCTTTTTGTTCGTTTTCACATGACCGACTTACCCATGGGATATGCCATAAACATTTAACACCGCAGAACTAGGGAATGGCCGTAACCTAGTGTTGCCCAATCGGCAAATGTTTTATACTTTTTTCGGCTGAGCACTCACTATGACTACGACCAGGTATGCTATTCTGGTGTACTAAGATTCGAACCCGCAAACACTGACTTGGTAATCGCAATTCTTATCCACTCGGTTACTCATGCAGCAGACATTGGCAACCATTTGATGGAAAAAAGTTGTGATGATGGCTCAATTCGAAAATCTATACTATCAACCGTTTAATTATTTGGCAACGTCAAGCTACAAATATTAAATATCCAAGGAAGTTGCCGATGTCTAGTGCCTTCGCTTTATTTTTGAGTAAGCAGAGTTGTATTCTAATTTTAATTATTTCCACCTTAATAAGTATAAACCTACCAGTCGGATAGAGTACAGAGTTGTCATGATTGGGGAATCTAGCAAGAGATCGTGTGTCAGCTTTAACCAACTAAGAATTCATGAATAGAAAGATAATATGCAAGGGTACACAGAATTTCCTAATTGCTTAACAGTAATTAACTAAGTGGAGGGAAAATTATAAGAAGAAAATAAACATCAGACGTCCGGACATCTCGTGAGGCACTTCAGTTAATTTCGTGAATGGATTCCCGTAAAATATAAATGTTTTGAAAAAGAGTACACGGATAGCCTGAGAGTTAGTCTCAGCCGAAAGAGACAAACTAATCGAAATAATTTCTTCCAAGTTAAATAGTGAAACTCGTGCTTGACATTCTTTGTACATGTACATTGAACTTCTCAAAATTTGAAAGAACCTTGTTTTGAAAAGCCTATGAATTGCCTATCCACGTGACGAAACTCTGCGATGCTAAATCAATAGTTAATTTTAAAACTTGTAACCTATCCTCGCACTCAGTAATTAATAATCGACATGTTTTATTTAATTTTTTTTTTTTTTTTGATTAATTTATATATTTATAATTTATGTAAATCAGATATTTTAAGAAAATTATTATTGGAAATAGTCTTTAAAATTCATTTTATCTTAAAAAAAGTTGTGGAAAAAATCCAATAACAATAATTTGTTATTTTACCAAAATTTATATTATGTTACTGACTTGTTCTCTTTGCCTTTTTGTTTAAAAGACATTTAAACAAATTACATAAAAGACTAATAAAATAAAAGTTTTTGACAAAACGAAAAAGTGAGAAAAACAGAAATAGAAAGAGATAGATAGATGGATGAATGTATGTATGTATGTATGTATGTATGTATGTATGTATGTATGGATAGATAGACAGATAGATAGATAGATAGATAGACAGATTGAGAGTGAAAGAAAGAGAGAGGGAGAAATAATTTAATATAGAACATGACTGGAAAGCAAAGTAATATGAATTTAAATGTAACGTGTGTGGCGTGGTTTTACAAAATTGCACAAGACCTCAAACTCGAAAACTACATTTACAAACGTGCAAACCTATTACATATAAATATATATCACATTATATCAACATTTCATATATATATATATATATATATATATATATACATACATATATGTAAATGAATGTATACATATATATATATATATAAACAAAGTTTTAAGCGTGTTAGTGTAAATGTGAAACAATGTAAAAGTTTAATGCTATCAAGTGACCGCATCGCATGCACAGATATATTCATTCAACAAAGCTAACATAGAAGACCGCAAGTGTTAGTCGTGTAGTTTTAATGCAATTCAATTAAGTGGCACAGAAAACTGAAATGGGCCAAAATGATAACATCTGTGTAAGAACAACAATATCGTGTAGACACACAACAAGACACAATTACAACGATAACAAAAACAACAATTGTGCAAGAGTGCAATTTAACAAATTATGAGACACAACAGATTCACAAATGCACGCACACGCATACATATATATACACATACACATGCACATACACATACGTCCAGATAGGGCTCTGGCAGGCAAAAAGAAATTGTTTAAGCCCCCAAAAAACACGCATACTATTGCAATTATGCAACCACCACCCACGTTGTATGAATGGCAAAAAGAAAAAGAAAAAAAAAAAAAACAAGAAGGGCCAATGAAAAACGAGACATATAAATGTATAGAAATTGACAAAACAATGTTGTTGCTTTTCATACCACGGATATGCGTTCGTGCACTCACTTCTCTAATGTTCAAGATCTAATTTCTTTTAAGTCTTCTATACAACTTTATATATATATATATATATATATATATGTACGTATAGATGTGTATTTGCCTACAGTGCCCTAAAGCGTTCCATAAACTGTAACTTTTACGTAATTACATACGATGCCGTTTGTTACTGCACGTAGTACATGCGTAGACTGTCTGCATCAATTGTATTGTCATTCAACAATAACCTCATTTTGATTTCATTCATAGCTACCGCATATATAAAATTTGTCATTACATGTGAAATCTCCTTCTTGAGATGGGGAAACGATTTCTTCGAAAATTTCTTCAATTGAAAACTAAAACGTATACCAAGGCCTTATATAGAAATTTAAATTCGATTCAATTGGGACGAAGCAGTCACTTTGCTGACGGAATCTATATATTTGAGAATATGAGAGAAACGTAAAAAAAGTAGTAAACCTTTTTCTCGGACATATTGGATGCAAAAAGAATTGAACTTATCCCGAAACGTATGCGGCATTCAATTTTTAGGCATTTTTTTGTGTTAAAAGTAATATTATTAGGCATCCGTTATATTGAACGTTGAGTAGGAGATAACGCACGTAGAAGAATCAATGAAATGATTCAACTGATTCGACTCAATCCAAATGAAACGTATTCTGGCCTCATCGCGGTCGCATTATTGTCTGTAGTCTGTAGTCAGAGTTGCGGAACGTACATCCGCATAAAAATATGAAAAATAACTAGAACAACAAAAAAACTCGCTTTCAACCTTTATTCTCATGAATGTCAAATTGTAAACTAAAAAGATACAAATAATTGTAATCGCGTGTTCTTCTCCTTCTCCTTCTCCTTCTCCTTCATCTTTTTCCTTTTTATCTTCTCCCCTCCTGCAAAACAATTTATGTTATTATTATGTTACTTTTATATTTTTCCTTTTTTGGCTGTCTTTCTCTTCGTACACTTGATATATATATATATATATATATTTTATTTATTTATTTATTTTTTTATTTTTTTTTTTTGCAATTCGCAGTAATTTCTTACCGAGCTATTTAGTTGATAATTTATTTAGTATTGAATTAAAATTAATTTGTTTCCATTTTCTATTATTATTATTATTATTACAGGCTGTAATCGAACTTATTATGGTGATATAGGGTTAACATACTCTCTGGAATTGCATCGTCCTAAGCAGGACCGTTTACCGTACGTTTGCGTTCTAACATTTACAGCAGCGGGCGGTCAACACGGTGACGTTGTACAGGTAAGAAATCTTGTAAAAATGCAGATCTAAAAACTTTTATGTTTTCCTCCGAAAAGTTCTGCACTTAAGTTTAATTCTCCTAAAACAAAATCTGACTGACATAAAGAAAAGCGAAACAGCAACGCAGTTGCTAAGCAAACCAATAAAAATCTTGTTAACAATATACTGCTATACGCAGTGCAAAAAAGAAATTACGAATCCTTTAATAAGCTCAGTAACTTATTTATAAGCGGAAGTTTATCTACATTCTTCTACTTGTTGCCTTGTTCGCGTCTCCATCGAAAAAAAAGCTCGTCATCGTATGACGGCTGGATTTTGAGGATCTTCTACGAGCCATTTCTAGTTTCCGTCGAATTGGAAGACTAGAGGTACTATAAACTTACATGCTTTTGAAAGCCTTTTGACGGCAAATTTATTTAGACTACTATTGGAATTAGATAAATAGTTTCCATTTCTTCTTGCGTTCAATGTAAGTCTCATCGCCTTAAGTTGCAGTCGACTTCATTGTTAAAAAAAATTTCATAATTCTTCTTTTGCATTTGTATTAGTAAGAGTATTAAAGTAACAATATTCGCTGAAAATTGTTAGCAGTTTTGCAGAGTGCAGTTCTTCTAGAACTTCGAGTAAAACTCAGCGCAGCTCGAGTAAACGTTCTTCACCATGATATCTGTCGGCTGCAAATAACAATTTTTTTCACAAATAAAAACTCAAAAATAACGATGAACTTAACGTTTATTTGATATCGTATAAGATTTAACTCGTACTTCAAACTGCCAGCACACTGTACTTTCTCCATATCCATGAGAACAATAAAAGATAATTTTCGATTAATTTAAGTTTTTCAATCAAGCACACCACACCCCCTATTGAAATTTTCAATTTGAAATTTTCATTAACTTCAAACATTCGTTCGAAACGAAATTCCACAAGAGTTTGTTTTATTTTCAAAAGCCCAACGCTATACTTTAGCTTAACTAAAATTCGTTGAGAAGGACACGCTTAGTATCGAACATTTCCTAGCACTACTTTACTCCCTGCAAATATTTAGCTAACATAATAAGCTCATTCTTTATTCCATAAAAAAAAAAAAAAACAAACTTCTATACATTTTTTCTTATATAATTTCAATATTAGCTAAAATCTCTTTCGCAAAACAACGTTACTCGAGTACTTTACAAAATCATTTACTTACCTTAAATCCTAATTGATTTTTAATGATTCAGTATATTTATCTCAAAGAGTTTCTTCTCTCAATTACTTCCCTTAATAAGTCACATACCTAAGTATATCATTTTACCGCCGCCACTATATACAAAAGATTATGATGAGCTAATGAGAACTGGATGACTTGATAATAGCTGACGGCGGAGTGGAAAGAGTGATATTCTATGCTATCATTTCTTATGTTGGGAAAAATGTTTTTTTTTTTTTTTTTTTTTTTTCTTTATTATCTTAATACAATGATAAAAGTTGACGTGCCATAGCAACTTTAAGCTTTAACAACAATAAAACATAATCTTCTAAAGGTATAGAGCGAGCAATAAGAAAGTTAAGCAAAAAAGTTAACAATAATTTTCTTTGACACTTTAGCACACAAGTTAATTGAAGCAAATTAAATCGTACTATGAAGAAATTAATATGTATTTGAAACGTTCTGTTAAAAATAATTAATTTTACTTAAGGGGTAAGGCCGCTATAAGTTTTTCTGCATAACATCTCTTTTTTTCTTTTTGGTCTTAATAGATACTTTGAACTTTTTAGAATATGTAACAAAAAAAAAAAAATTGATTGCCTTAGAGAAATTTTTCGGTAGAATTTTCGTGCGAGCGCTCAGAAAAGATTCACCCATGTTAAAGAAATCCTTTCAAAGAAGTTACAGACCAATGCTCCACTGGTGATTATTTCTAGCTCAACTAATATTCTAACAGATAGATGTCTTTAGAAACTCTTTACATTCAAAATGTATCAGTGTAGCTTTGTTAAATCACTTATTCGAGTACTTAAGATGCACGCCTATAAAATAGACGTAACTGGGCTCAATCTTCAGTACGGTAGATCAAAGTTCGTCGTAGCTGAGGTGAGTGCTCGATCACTTCAGGCACCTCCTCTACCTCTTTATGAGAACCGCCGTAATGAAAGCACAGAAGACATCCTTAATTGGCCATAACTCAGGACGTTCCCGGAGTAGATATGAAATTGACAATGAAGGAAAGCAATTTGTTTGGTCCTAGAATTGCATACTACCATGTCCTTGCGTTTAACGCGAAACGTAATTTATGAAAAGGCCACGCAGCATAACTCAAATAATTTTCATCTTTTCCTTCGAAATTTTTAGCAAATATCGTAGAATATTTTTAATAAAGTAATCTATTCTGATGTTTTTTTTTATTTTATCCATAAAAGAGTAACTTTTCTTCCATCCGAAGCAAATTATCAAAGAATTGCTTCTTTTTAGTCCTACTCCCCATAAGTAATAGAGAAAATTTAAAACGCTTGAAAAAAAGAGTTTCAACGATGCCCGTCCTTTTATTACCATCTTGGGAGGTATATTCATTTTGTTAGAACGTTTGCGCAACGCTCAGAAGAAAGCATCAGGTACCGCACAAAACATATCTATTCTTGATCAGCATCAAATAATAAATCGATTTAAGGACGTCCGTCTGTACAATGGCTGCTGTAAACATTCAACTTCAAATTTGACAGAAACAGTGTGAAACTCTTGGTATTGAAAGTGGACCAAATCGATCGAAGAACATACCTACAACACCACGTAAAATGAGAACATCTCTGCTTTGCAAAAGAAATCAAAAATTGATTTTTCCCTCATTACTCATAACCTATAGCAAATAAATGTACAAAGCTTTGAATATTCTATGATCATATTCTATGACCACATCCAGCCAATATTATAGCGCGTAGAAACAAGCTTCAAAACCTTTATAAAAAGCATATAAATTCTTGGCCCGTTTGGGATGCATCTAAACAATTTCGCCTCTTTGTCTGTCCACCTGTGTGCTGCGGTATTTTGCGCACCTACAACAACCACCTGTACGACAAAAACTTTTATTTTGAAAATAGAAAAAATCAACTGCACTCGATCCATATTATAGAGCATAACAATGTTGTTGTTGTTTCATTGTTTTTGTGTTTTTTAAAACAGATTGAGTCGCGACCGAATTTCCTTTCTTGTTATATATGCAATTAAGTAAAATGGAAAACAAATTAAAAAATATTTGAGTAATTGAAAGAAGAGCACAGATAGCTCAACATTGTTCATGTTTATGTCTTTGCTGAGTTATTCGCTTCGATTAAATTTGAAAACTTTTCACAAGCCGTGCACGTATAAAACAAACTAAACCTATTTAATGGGTCACCGAATAACTGCGTTATTCCTACCAACTGACAAAGTGACTGTAAATCTATTGAAATACCGTAACGTACAAATCAAATTATGACATGTAAGAAAATTATATTCGATCGCGACCGACTCTTTTACACCCATCATCGTTATCCTAAAGAAGACAAAAAAAAGAAAAAAAAAAAAACAGGAAAAGAACCAAATTTTCCTCTCTCTATAATGTTGGGTGGGCGCGGGCGACTTTTTTATTTTTTTTTTATTTTCAGAATAAAAAGGGAGAAATTTATAAAGTGTATATGCCGCACTTGAGGAGTAACAAGCAAAAAACACGAATAGCAAAGGTGTTCATAGAGTTAGGTTATTTTCAAGTTCTTTTACAAATTTTTTAGCAATTTTTTCATTTATATTAACGGTAGAATGCTTACCCTAGATACTAAAGAGATAGGCCGACGGACATGTTTAAGTGCATTCCGAATTTGAGACTGGCCACGAATTTATATGCTTTATGGGATTTCGGAAAATTAAATTTTGATACACTATACTATCGGGTAGACAGGAACAAATTGTTCCCATTTTTATACTGGTACTACAACATCACCCGTAGAATGTGCACTGAATGTACATTGTATATTTATCTGCTGAATTTTCCGACCAATGAGCATAAAAAAAAGCAATTTTTTATTGCTTTGGAAGAAACAGAAGTGTTTTCAGATTTTTTGTAGGCGTGTCTTTTGAACGATTTGGCCCATTTTATATATACTACAATGACAATCTGCGTACAAGAAGTTCCAATGTTTCTGCCGAATGTCAATGTCAATGACTCCATTTTTCCGGCGAAGAGAATGTTTAGACGGACAGACAGACATGCTTAAAACGATTCAGAATTTGATAGTGACGAAGAGTGTAGACACTATGTGGTATCTCGGCAACTTCCTTCTTGGCGTTGCAAACGTTTTGAAAAAATGAATATGTCCCTCATCCTTGGACGCTAAGCACAAAAAGGTATTAAAAACACATCAAACAACTTTACATTTTTAATATCAACTAAAATGCATTAAAAGCTCTTCAAAAAGCCGAACTTCATTGCGCAGCGATGTTCAGATCTCTCTAAAATTTTTTATAATCAACTTAGTGTGTTATTTGTACGGGGGGAAGGTATGTGTGGAAGATTTTAGCGATGTTGTACCCTGAACATGGCCATGAAGTTACATTTTTCTGATCGATATCAAAAAACTCAAATTTTTATATTCTTTTAAAATTTTTTCATTACATATTTTACACATTGCCATTTTTCTCTACCGTTACACATACGCTTTATGATAACCAGTAATAATAATAATTTTTTTTTTTTTTTTTTTTTTATAAAATAAAAAATGATTTTGGTTTTTTAAATTATTTTTTTAAAAAATTTTTTTTTTTTTTTTTTTTGATGATTTTGCACAACTATCCGTTACCTGGCAAATGTGAAGATAGCTCTAGGTTTGCCAAAGAAAAAAATTTGCAAATCTATACCGGGTGGTCGAACTTAGCATGTCTAAATTTCCCGGATATAGAAATAGCAAAAAAACGTGTCCCCGTGTGTTTATTGTTATGGTGGGTGAAAAATGACTAACGGTAAATTTACCCTACATAGAGTAACGCTGAAAAGAATATTGTTAACTAAAAGAAAAATCTTGTAATTTTATAAATTAAAAATAAATTTTATTAAGGTTTCACTTAACATTCGTTTTTTTTTTTTTCTTTCTATGCATTTTTGCCCCTAAAATTTTGTTGCAAAATTCATTTATTTTCGTTTCTTTTTCTTTTCAAAAAAAAAATAAATAAATAAAACAAAAAACGGAAAGAAAATCTCTCTGAACAACGTGAATTATTAAGCGTTAATTACATGAATTGTTGTTTTAACTATAAATAAAAGATTGAAATATATATATATATATATATATTTTTATATTAAATTAATTAAATTTCATGATCTTATTACTGTAATGGGAAAAGTAAATTGTAAAAAAATTGCAACTTTCTCTTGTCCGGTATGCTGGCATTCGTAACCGTTGTATAAGTAAATTTGATGATTGTCTGATGATTGTTTAATCCAAAACTAAGAAAAGATATCATTTCAATTCAGGCTGGCTTTGGCTTTAAAACCATAAAAACAATGAGAACAGAAAAAAAAAAAAAAAAAAAAAAAAGAAGAAAAATACTTTTGTTGCGGAAACATGCGGACAGGATATCCGCCAACAATCCACTCGGTATGTTTTCAGTTACCGTTACTTATGCCATCATTACTCTTGTGTATGTCGTTATTTTTTCCTTAGTTAGGTTTGTCTTTTTTTTCAATGCAATTTTTTTTTTTTTTTTTTTAGGAAACCAGAGGAAAAATAATGAAAAACAAAAGAATAAATTCCATCATTTATCCTTTTAGTGATGTGCAAACAATTTTTGTTTTCTACTTTCTCTCAATGTTGATTATTTTTAGTTTTTATTTCACTTTTATTACTTGTTTTTCTTCTTCTTCTTCTTCTTTTTTTTTTTTTTTTCTATCTCTTTTGTACAGGTTACCTTGGATAGCTTTACAATTGGACGCTTTACATCGTATCTGCAGGATGGCTGCCCAGATGGTTATATGCAAATAGCTGAATCGGCTCGTACACCAATCGGTGGCATGTGGTGTGGTACTTCATGGGGACCAGTGCTATTCTACAGTGAATCACGTTCACTGATATTTACAATAAAATTAAACAAGTATGTGTTTACTTGCTAGCAACTAATGAAAGAGAAACAGAGAGCATTGAATATAGAAAATATGGAAACCTCTTGAAATTCTACTAAACAATTTTTGAATTGAAACCACACAACAAAACCACTCAATACATATTTTATTATTTTATGAAATTCTAATCATTTTTATTAAAGAACAACCAACTCAAAACCTTTGCAATGCATACGAATAGTAAAACTATGAACTAGAAACCATTGTAATATTGCTTCTAACCTCTAACCATTGAAATATAAGAGTCTATAACTTTTATTAAGCCGTTTGCAGCGTTACGAAAAAAAAAAAAAAAAAAAAAAAACAAGAAAAAAAAAAAAGGACAAAGAAAAAGAAAAAACATGAGAGATCAAATAACGCTATATTGCGATATATATATGCAGATTCTTTTTCTCCCCGTAAGTCGAAAGTCGAATACTGAGCTACTGCTCGGCGTAGCTAAACACATTGTGTCAATTCAAGAATAAACGATACGACCTTTAAGTTTTGAGTTACAAATAAAAATTTCATAAAAAAAATCGTATTAAAGAAATATATTGAATGATTTTCCCGAACTATGTATGCCCAGGACATAGGTACATGAATGGTAGAAAGCAAAGTAAAGAATTCCATTGCGTTTTTATCTGACCGACTTTGACACAATTGCATATGAATGCAAACATTGATATAATCAATTGATAGACAATTCTTCGAAAATTACCTAAATAATCTAAATCGCGATAATCCTCTAAAGCCTTTCAGGGGTCTGGAAGTTTTTTTGTTGTCCAGCTTATTTCAAAAGAGCTCAAGTTTCATTACCATTGTGTTATTAAATATTTCAAGTAAAATGAAAAGGCATTTTTAATATAATATATTGAGAGTTACACCTTTTTGCCACATGAACGCTTAGCTTAAGAACGGTCAGTAAAAACGACTTTATGGGGGGGAGTGAGTTCAAAAAACTTACATCATCCGCTACAAACTTTTTTATATCAATTAAATATAAAGGTATATATTATTGGTTAACGATATAAGGTCTGTGGCCGTCAAAATGCTCCCGACTCAATCCATTTTTAATTAAATTCGTCCTTAAGCCAAAATATATCAATATACCAGAATTGATCAAATGTTTATATCTCGCAAAATTTTGTGAAAAAAAAAAAAAAAATACATGAGCAAAAAATAATCCTGAACCGATCGATATAATAAAAGGCGGATCCTCCTGCGTGTGATATCTCACCGCACATACTTAATATACGCTACACCACAAGTGCTGTAGCGTAGAGAAATGAATACAATTCACTTACAAATATAATGCAACGAGCTTAGTAAATTGCAAGTTTGTTTATATTTTCATCGTTCCCAGCGGTGATTTAGCATGCGAAGGCTGTATAAAGATTTTAACGCCAAAATTGCTCCAGGCTATCACATCTAACACAATTAGAGAAAAGCGGTGCAAGTTTTGCCTCAAGACTGTCATTGCTTTATTATTTTATTATAAGTCACCAAGGATACCTGTCACCAATGAAAAATATTTTAAAGGACTCTTCATTTTATTAAAAAAAACTTATTGAATTTATTGAGTTAACACATGATAATTACACGCCACTCAGGCAGCTTTTATATGATACAATTTTTGCATCGACTCTTAAAAAAATCACCGGAAAGTACATTTTTAGCAGATTAACGGTAAAAAACATACGAAAAGAAAAAGCATTACTAGATGGTAGATAGGAGAAAATTTCATAACTTAACGCCAAGTATAAGATTTTTTTTCTTATAAATAATCATGAATCATATACATGTTCCTTGATCTGTTCGAACAATGTCCCGCTAAAAGTGAAATTATTTTATGCAGATAGTGGTGTCATTTTCAAGGCTCGCACTATCCGATAACATTTGATCAGTAAAAATTTGCAATCTTTTTCATATGTGGAACGTTATACACATACGCACAACATATTGAAATCGTGAAAATTCGTAATATGATTTTTTTTTTTTCAATCTCTCAAATGAATTGAATGGAATTTCGCTCCCAACACTGGCGTTTACAAATTTCTGAATTAAAAATATTTTCGCTAGAGCAATGACGATTCCTTGGGCAGAGATAGTTTCACTTTATCACATAGTAATAAAAATTCTTATTTTATTCTCATATGATATTTGTTTTTGTTTATATATATATATATATATATATATACATTTACATACATTTGTTTTTTTCTCTTTCTATCGCTTGTCACGGTTGCAACAACAGATTGGCTCGTGATCAAAGCGGTTATAATTTTGATTTTCGCATAAGGTATAAAGTTTTATCACGTGATAGTTCAGTAACTCGTTACGGTGGTATTAAGCTGCAAGGTATGTATATATATATATGTCATAAAAATCCATTATCCCAACTAACACTTAAATATATATATATACAGTGATTTATACAGTTTTGTTTTTTTTCTCCCCACATAGACATAATTTTTTTCAATCATAGTTATCCCCTCATCGTCATCGCCATCATCATCATCATCGTCGTCGTCGTCGTCGTCGTCGTTATTACAACGTTCAAGTTATTAACTTTTTCTATTTTTTCCATTTTCCCATTCACTGAAAGAGGAGCAACAAAAAAAAAAAAAAATAAATAACACAAACACACACAAACACACCGAGACATACTATCACTGTTTTCTAGTTTATAACAAAACTCGTACACAATGAAAAGTTAGCAGAAATCAGAAATGAATTTATAGGCAAATAGTGAAAGAGCACAAAAAAGACGGTTGGCCAGATAATCAGGAAAAAGGAAAGATGGGAAAACTTTCATTTACAAAAAAAAAAAAAAAAAAAAAAATTATTTAATTTCAAATATCTAACTAATTGGAAAAAAAGGGAGAGAACGAGAGGAGCGAAAATATTATAACTATTCAAAGCCTTTTGACTTTTTGTCATAGGAAGTTATTAAAAAGTTTTTTTTTTCCGTTTATTAGCATGAACTTAATTTTCATTAGATTCCGAAATTGATTGTTATATGAAAAGTGTTACTTCTGACAGAAAAATTGCAAATATAAAAACGATTTTTCATTAACTCGCGAAACGAAAAAAGCAAGCAAGGGACAGCTAGCAAAGATCGCAGGGGTCCTTACTGTAAGATCTTAAATTTCAGCGCAACGAACTTTTCTTCAAATTTTGCCAATAAATATTGAACTAATGCCTCATAATCCAACCGTTAAGAGTAAGCCTTAATATCGCTTGACTCTATTCATGAACTTTTAATATCACATAGAAGAAAACCGACGACCATCAACTACTTAACCCTACCAATTACTGGCAGTTGAGAAACAAAGCTGCCAAGTCTCATGTTCTATTTGTTCATGCTAAGAAAAGATTCTCATTAAGGCCGCATCTCGTTGAACTGTACTCCGTAGCCATCTTACAGAAGAAGCTTTCATTCTTGTCCTAGATAAAAATATATAAAACATAGAAATAGGCTATCGGTAATGCTCGCCTCTACATACAAATAGTTCGATTCCCTCATTTGAAGGGAGAGCAAGTGCAATGATACACTTATAGGATCGTCGTAACTAGTCTGTCTAAAACTGTCATAAAATGTCCGTCCGTGACTGCGCATGAACATTTTAACAAGAATAAATAGAAACATGATAGTAAAGCAACGACAATCATTCGACACGTTACACCACTTCACGTAGCGCATTCTACTAAAAATTATGCGTTGCTCTGCTTCAGCCCTCATATGAAACAGGATTGAAAACCTCAACGGACATGATGTAAATTTAACAAACTCAATCTTCTTGTTATAACCTTTAAAAGAATACACTGTCTTGCCCTATAAGCTGTGCGATTCAGAAAATGGGCCGACTTAGTCCAAGGTTTGCATAAATCATCTTAAGAAAAGATTAAAAGATAGCTATTTTAGTAAGCATACAAATGCCGTACTAGAAAATATATAGACCAACATGATCCGAATTTGATACAGTGCAAGTAATTCTTACTGTAGGATATTAAAAACTAGAGCTTTTTGCCGTATAAAGACTTACTTCTCGTAGGAGTCGTTCAAAGAAAGAGGTTGAAGGGGTTTCAAGGAATTCCTCCCTTTCGATTTTGATTTCTCATATCAATTTATTATGTCGAAATATTAATACTCCGCGATTTTTATGATGAAATTTTGAAAGTTGCCATCTTTTTTCATATAACAATATTCTCAAAATCCGATTTTATATGGGGTAGAGTGATCGTAAAATAGATCTGATTCCAACTATTTTCAATAGGATTCATTTTCAAAATGCATTAGTGTATTGAAATTCAGCAATATATTACAAAAATCTGTAGGTTGAGCACAAAAATGCAGGGACAACCGGACAGACAAGATTCAAAATCGTTGGGAATAAAAAAAATAGGAGGCCTACGTACATCTGCGCAAGCTAAACTTAGTGTAGGGTATAAATATTTATAATAATTTGCGATAATTCGTAAATTTTGTCCCAAGTAGCCTCAACAAGACCAACAGAGGAAATTCGAAAATTATTTATTATTATGAATTTTTAAAAAAATCCTAATAAGAAATTTCTTAAGCAAACCAAACTGTTTTTTTTTTTTTTTGGCCGGAATTTTCAATATATATATATATGTATATATATATAAACTTGAAGCGATTGTAATATGAACGACGAAATTTTCATCATCTCACAAAGAATGCTTGCCTATCTATGTATGTGAAACATATAACTGACTTAACGACCAAAAGCAAAATTAATACTATTTCACACAGTTCGCACAGCTAGTTTCCTTTAATTTCAATTTATTTAATTCCAGAATTAGCGCAATGGCACAATCGTAGCAATTTCTTGCATCAAAATTCAATGGAGGATTTTACGAATACAAGCGGTGTGCATTCCGATCGTTATGGACAAGATTTTAGTTTATTTAGTGCTTATGCAAATAATCAAACCTTCATGAACTCGTTGAGTAAACGAGTTGAGAAAGATGACTACAATTATACCGAACCAAAATATTATTTGGGTAAGTTTTCTTTGCTTTGCCTTTTTTTTCTTTGTTTTTTTTTTTTTTTTTTTTTTTTGAAAAAGAAAATATCATTTTCGTTTTAAAAGAGAAATATTTAAAGCATATTAAATAAAATCAAATTAAAATTGAAACAACATCCCATAGGCGACTTAATACCGGGCACGTATTGCTCACGTATCTTTAGTGACTGCGATAGGAAAGCATGCCGTTTACAATCGCCCAATTATCCGGGTATATATCCAAGGAATTTAACGTGTTATTATGCCGTTAGACAGGTAATATTTCACTTCTTCTCCTAACTAAATATAGAATCCTTTAAAGCTTATCTATCTGCTTCTATTATGCAACAAAATGACCAACGCATTAAAAAACTATTGTATATGCGGTTTTTTTTTCATTTTGTATGAGAAAAGACATTAATTTAATCCTATACATAGGGAGAGTTTTTTTTTTTTTTTTTTAATATGATTGGTTGCCTGACGTTGTCGGCTTTATGGGCAAACTAAGCAAAACAAAAAAAAACAAAAAAACAACAACAACAATATATTGTCGCTTTTAAACTTTTGTTCAGAAAAGTCTGCCTTATGAGTCATAATGAATAAATATGAATAAGCAGCACATGGAGAGCTTATATTATGGAAATTTTCCATATTTACATTACGGCACACAAAACAAATGAAAAATTTTGCTGCCTTTAGTCATCTAACGCTAAATACTAGATAAGCTGCGAAAAGAATTTCAATTTTATAGAGGAAGCATTAAGCGATCGAAATGGACAAATTAAGTGAAGTCACTGAGTTTAATTAAATCGTTGGATTAGGCATTTGTTGATTCGCGTTTTTCTAACATTCTTTCATAAGGGAAAAAGAAACATATTTTCGACATAAGAAAGGAAATTGTTTCTCAAAATTGCACTTCTTCGTCTTCTTCTGAAGCTAACAACACTAGCTAAGGGCTTGGAACGCAATGAATTTATTGGCAAAACAATGACAGAGGAATTTAACTGAAATTGGAACCGCAAAAAAAAAAAAAATGGGAACGAAAAGCTAACTGATTTTGAAATTACCTAATGGCAGTAATTTTATAGAAAATTAATATTAATTTTTTTTTTTTTTTTTTTTTTTTTTTGAGAATATATAAGAAACTTCTTTAGTAACAACTACTAAACTAAATGAATTGATGCGATAGTTTATTGAGGCATATATCCGTTATTAATGTCCACTCGTATCTTTAATTGTGGACATTAATTTATTGAGGCATATATATGCATTATATATCCACTCTTAATTAATTAAACGGGCGCTGAGACGTGTCTAAAGATCGAATCCACAATTTTGCAGTACCAGCCGTCACTTCATTTCTTTTGCGCTGAGGATATCATCGAAAAAAAGAATTTCATTTACTTCTACCGTAATTCTTCCCGATCGTGATAACACGTGAAATTACAAATCTTAAAGCGAACGCTGGTTGTTGCAAAAATCTTGTGCACAGATATTAGGGAAAGTGCTTGTGCACGCATTGACAGGTTCTCACCAAAATTTCAATCATTTCGGACGAGGTAAGATTAATTTTGCGAAAAAAGTACAAAACGACGTATTGGACTGTCATTGGGTATCTAATTCGGAAAGACATTACACATCTGTGTAAACATTCTCCTGGCCGTAAACATTCTCTCTATCGACTTGTTGTAGTAATTGCGGTAAGCATTCTTCCGTTATCGCCAAGAAATTTGCAAAAGAATTTGTAATTGACGTAAACTGTTCAAAGCACACACTTACAACGCCACATACTTATGCGGCAAAAACTTTGCTTTCGAAAATAGCAAAAATCAGCCGCGCCCACTCCATATTCTAGAGCATGAATATTTTCTTCTTTTATTGTTTTTGTGGTTTCTAGGATAACGATGATGCGAATAAATCATTCAGTCCCGACCGAATTTTGAGTTCCTTACTTATTTGTTGGCTATTAAATTTCATTGCTTTGTTATCTTTCCATTTCTATTTCACTTTTCTTTATTCAAATACATTTTATTTATGCGGTTATTTGATTAACTAAATATCTTCGATTTTCTCTAAGGCAAACTATTTATCAAAGCATGTATATGTCGTATGCGGTTACATTTCGATTTAATCTGATCAGTTATTAAAACTTACAATGTCGCGAAAATTCTTACATTATTATGTGTCCAATAACGTCAATAACAATGTGCGTAACGAGCGGCATTTTCATCAATTTAAAAAAATTTAAGTTCAGCTTACATCGGACACACTCAAAACAGGCTTAACGTAAAAAGTTCAATGTTTTTTCTCTTTTCATTTAACTTAAACGTCACTCATACGCCACGCGGTGTATTATGTTCATTGAAAGCATATGAAATTGAGTTTAACGGAGAATTATCGCAAACTTAAGTGATGGTGGATTTTGAAAGTTTGCTCTTAAAAGTGAATATTTTTTTAAAGTTTTTTTTTCTCTTTTTCTTTTATTAATCTTGATTCTATACTTATATATGATATGCATATATATTTGTTATTATTAAAAAGGAGTTATTTCTTTTTTTTTACATAATCCTCAAACCCACAGCACAGACAATTACTACAGTGTCTGGAGAAAAAAATAAAAAGAAAAAGAAGGAAGAAACAAGTAAAATGATATATAAAAAGGACACAAAAGTCCTGTTTTTTCTGTTAATAATTTTCACATAGTTGGCTTCCATTTTAATAGAGTTATTGACATTTTTCTCTTTTTCCTTGTCCTTCTCTTTCGAGACTTTACTCAGCCACTTCACAAAAGCAAAGATAAGTCTTCACGAAACAAAAAAGAAAATAAAAGTAGACCAAGTATTAGAGTAATTTTTTTCAAGAATTTTTATTTATATATTTTTTTTATCTTATTTTTCTTTTCTTTTCTTTTCATTTGTTTTTTTTTTTTTATTTTTAAATTTATATAATTTAATGTCGGTATTTTAGTTTTTATTTAAATTTTTTTTTTTTAAAGGTAAGTAAAGAAAAAAAAAAAAAAAGTCAATTTTATCCGCTCATAGTATATGAATTCATCTCGTTAAACAAGCAGACATAAACGCTTGTTAAGGAAATCAAGGAAATAAATGCTTTCTCTCTTTTTCCCATTTTGGAAGCATTGGATTGATGTCTTATCTTAGCCAACTTTCTTTATAGAATGTGTCAGCCTTTTATACTGATATAAACGTAAATTGAAAAATGTTTTTTTTTTTTTTTATTCTCTTTTTTTCATTTTTTTACATTTCCTGTCCGATCAAAGCCATATTTTACCATTCGTAAAGATACAAAAACCGACACTTAATAGCATGCTAACAATAAATGTTAATGTCATTTAAATTAAGTAGTCAAATAAGCCAGATAGACAAAATTCAAATAATATTAGCTTTTTTCTTTTTAAGCAAGTGAATGGAAATGATGGAAGGTTAAATTAAATTTTATATATAAATGCTTTAATAGCCTTTAGGATACACATTTCTAGAGCATATGATTTCAAAAGAATATCTTATAATGGTCTTATGAATGCATAATGTTTGGAAAGGCAAAAACGATATAATAGAAAATAGGCAGTTGTCTGCATTCTACATACATAGATAGACTCCATCGACAAATTCAATTTTATCTAGAAAGAGAAATTAAATAAGATGCTGAACGTATTAAACCGTAATTTTGCAGCTTATCACCGCATATTGAAAATGAAAATGAATAAGAAAATTAACTGAAACAGCTAAAGGAAGTGTACTCGATTTCCTTACACAAACATCAGACATATATTTTTATATTTTGTCTGAACACTAAAATTAATTCAAAAAGCCATCGATCCGCCTGAATGGCCGAGTAGGCAAAGTATCTCGATTAACAACTCAACGGTTGTGGATTCAAATCTCATGTGCGGTAGAATGTTCAATAAAGCCGATAGACGTAGATACTAATGCTTTAAGACGCTCGTTCTGCAATTTATTTCTCTGGCAAAAGTTAATCACAATAAGAAAATTATGTTCGGTCGTGACCAAATCTTTTGCATCCATCATCATAATCTACGATATGGAAGGAGAGCACAGTTGATTTTTGCAATTTTCAGAATAAAATGGCAAATTTATATGATGTATGTGTTGCAATTTATGAGTAACAAGAGAAAAATCATGCAAAACAACAATGTTCACGGTTCCTCTTACATAGGCGTGTGGGTGTTATAGGAGTTCTTTGAAAAGTTTGTATTATTTTCAACTTTCTTTTGCAAGTTTGCAGATAGCTTTCTTATTTTTACAAACGCGAGAATGTTTACCACACATAGTACACTGTTGGACAGACGGACAGATGGACTTACGAACGGACAGACATACTAGGTTACATTTCCAATTTGAAACTAATCAAAAATTTATATATGATATATGGGTTTTTTTTAACATTGAACGAACTGGCGGATAGGCGGGAAGGCGGACAAACTAGCATGCTTAGATCCATTCAGAATTTGATTCTAATCAACAATATATATATTTTGTGGAGTTTCTGGAGCTGTTGTCTGGGCGCTGCCAACGTTTTGACAAAATGAATATACATACCTCTCATACTCCGGTTATAGATATAATGAAAAAAACAACTAAACAACAATATTAAGACGTATGAGAGCCGATAGCCTGTGTTGCTAGTGCTCAATGTCTTTTTTTTAGTCTAAGAATTCATTTCATTAGTCTAAAATTAAAATAATAATAATACTAAGCCGATAGCCTTAGATGCTAGTGCTTTTAAGAATTTAATCTTAGAATTTATTTCTCTGGCGAAATTAATAATAATAAGACGTATGAGTGATATTTACATTTCGCTGTTAATAACAAGTATCAGCACAGATGCGTTTTATTAATTTAATTGTTACTCATACGACATGAAGAACAATAGTGAAATAAACACATTACTTGCCAATGCTTTCATTTGACGGCTTACGCGGCCTTTATCGGTCTTCAACTTGGAGTTCGATTAAAAAAAAGTATGCATATATATAAGGGAATAAAGATTAACTGACTAAAGCTTAACGAATTGCGTCACCTTCAACCAATTTACACATCCATAGAACACATTTAAAACTTCAGATTTCAGTCGTTCGGTGGCGTACGTGAATCTACAGTTAATTATAAGATCAATTAAGATTATGCTATAAAGCAAAAAATAATGCAAACGAGTAATAGTATCTATGGTTTATAAATACAATTATTTTACACATCACTTGTTGCTTACAATATTATTTTTGTATAAAATTTTGTAAAAAAAACCCTTTAAAAAATCTTTCTTCTCTTCGCCGCTCTTCATGACATATAACTATACTTTCGAGTTTCATATAAGCATGATTATTAATTATGCATCACCCGTTGATTTACAACTTTGTGAAAATCACTTTTAATGAAATGGCATTTTACGGGAATCAAAAATGTGCAATTCAATCACAACATAAGCGCAAAGTGCATCAGCCGGGTGCACGCCACAAACTGAACCGCATATACAATGCAATGAAATTTCACTTGACCGTTTAAAATGAACGAAAATTTAAAGGTTTCAAGAAAAGGACAGAAGAGAATTTTACATTAACTTCTCTTCTAACATTCAGATCACTATAGCGGACAACATCACATATAATTACGTCGAAAAAAAAAAAAACAAAACAAATAATGACCTATTAAAAGTTATAAAAAAAATTTCCTTAAAATAATATCTTCAAAGAAACGAAGTTTTTTTTTTTCCAAATATTTTTATGACCATTAGCGAAATAAAAGAGTCTACTGACTTTGTCATTTTGTTTGTAACATCAGACAAGTTTCCAATGCAATTTGCACAGATCAAATCTATATGCATATACGATATCCATGACACGCCCATAAAGGTGTTTAAAAAATTATATTTTCAAAATTATCAAACTAAAATTTCGCCTTATGTAGGTCAGCAGATAAAAGCAGCAACCTGATAAATCGATATGTCTAAACGAACGTTATCTGAAAACTCTTTAGAAAAATGGTCTTATTGAGGCAACCGATTCGCATAAAAATTTTTTCATTTAGGTTTCTATTTTTCGCCAACCACCAATGGGAACAATAAGCCCGCCTATCATATTGTCAAAAAGTCCCCGAGAGAGGGCTGCAAGTACCCCAAGAAATATTTCGTCATTTTGTTGAATGCAACAGTAATCTAGTAAGCAAATCTTTGGCGAATTATTCGACCTACTCGTATAAATGTCGATTGCGTGAAGAAAAATTTTGTTCAGACTGACATCACTTTTCATTTTTTACTTTCACAATTAACTGGAATAGTTGCGTAATGAATTTGAATAGTTTTTGTGTTAAAAAATGTAATAGAATCGATTAAGGCATTCTAAGAGAATCGATTAAGCAAACTTAATAAGAAGAGATCTAGTTCAGATTCTTATTAATTTGTGGTAAAAGAAAAGGAAATCTATCAATAATTCCATCAAAACATTCACGTTGAGCAACACTTGATCCACTTTTTGAGTACATTTTACAAATTTTTTTATGAGCATGTGTTTCGGCCAAACAATCCTAAGCCATTAGCCCCCCGCGCTATGTTCAAGATTCGATTCATATATATGGGGGGAGTCAACTGCAACTAAATTAAAATACGTTCTTTACTTCTTGACTACGTTAATATGTAAATGCTCTATTCTTCTAAAATGAACTTACTTGCATGGCATGAGAAGTTATACGCCTCTTTATTATACACGAGTGATGTGCATGTGTTTCAGGAGGATCACAAATTCTGGCACCAAGATTGGGAATCGTGCATTGGAAATATTATTAGGAATCCGGCTATTCTTGACTATCGTGATAATTTCAACCAAATTATTAATGTCTATCTGTCAGTTCGTCGATTTATTATGGGGTATATAGGATTTAAAAACCTCAAACTTATAAGAGATGCGAAGGTACGCAGAATTTGGTGTAAAGCATTATTTTGATATGTGTGTCAATAAAGACATTGTCAGTAAGTCAATTAACTTAATATAGTGGGTATCGAAGATTCGGTCCGAAATTAAAGTAATTTTCTTGCCTTTTTTTCTTGTTTTCATGTTCGCAAAATTAATTAGCAATATTCGTAGTAAGCGCTTTTTTTTTTCTTCCAGTAAAACTTTCATAGAAGAGAAAAAGACAGAGAGAAAATTTTCATTAAAAAAGAAATTTCTAGAAATTTTTGCCGGAAATGCCCAACATGGTAAATTAGTTTAATAAATCGTACAAAAAAAAAAAAAAAAAAAACAACAAAAATTATAATAAAAATTTTAAGAAATATTTTTTTATAATTTCGCTGGGCAAATATAGAAACAAAAATAAGCATTTTTTTTAAAGAGAAAGAAAAATGTTTAATTAAAGCTGCTACTCAGTGTTTTATAATAATTCGTTAGATACTTTATCACAAGCACTGGTGTCTCTTTCGTTTCGACTTTCCTAACAACAAAAAGAAGTAAACATTTAAAAAAATAAATAAATAAATAAATAAAAAAGAAAATTTTTCCTTTTTAATCCTTTTTCAACATCATTACGTTTTCTTTGTTAAATTCTTTGTTACTTACTCTTCTATATTTTTTTTTTTTTATTTTCTCCTCTTTTTTGGTTTTTTTTTTTTTTTTTTTTTTTGTTTTTCTTCTTCTTTTTTTTTTAATATTATTTAGCATGAAGTTCCTCATGGCAAGCATGCCTAAATTCTGGTGAAACAACCCAAAGGCAATTTAGTCTGGATATCTACACAGGATATGACCACAAAAAAGATTGCACCGCTTACCATTAGTGAGAAAGATAAAAAATTCGAGCCGCGTTTAAAAACCTGGAAGGACTGCGATCATATACAGGTACGTAAAAGTACACACCAAGACTGAAATGAAATATATTATTACTTGCGCTCCTGTTTCACACATATATTCATTCTTTCGTAGATAAAATCGTTAGTCAGCTTATGTTAACTAAATATATATATATATATATATATATATATCAGGGGGGGTGTGAGTATTATATTTTGGCAATGGTTTGGTGTTTGTGAAAATTAATTTCTATATTATCTCGGGTAATCGCGTTCGTTTGTCTGGTTGAGCTTTTTTTGCCGTTGTTGCTGTTTTCGCTTTTGGTTTTAAGGTATTCATACAAACATACATGATGCAACAACGATCTGTAAACCACTAAGCCGCTTTAACAGATGATATCACACTGAATGTTATGTAACATGTGAGAAAAACAAAATAAATGAAAATGACAACAACAACAACAACAACGAGAATGAGAATGAGAACGACAACGACAGCGACAGCAAAGACAACGTTTGTTTTTACGCATTTGCCGTGAGCTCACTTAACAAAAAGAGGATTTTGCAGCCTTTAGTGGTATTCAGTTTTCGGCTTAAATAAAAACATTTGAATTTATGGCTTAGCCTTTTTTTTTGTTTTTGTTTTTTCAATAAATAAAAAACAACATTTATGAAAAAAATTGAAATAATAATAATATGTAAATAGCTGCAATAACTTTTGTTAACATTATATTAAAATGGACCTTTGAACATATGGTCCGTTATGGTTATCATTCTAAGCGGGATTATACGGATTATTTCTTTAACAAATAATTTACAGTGAAATCTGCATTAATTGCGACTCTTTAATAGTGAAAAAATCTACGTATTAGTTTGGGGAAAAAGAAATCCATTATTTTTTCGGTAAATGGCTGCACTGATACATTTCTCGTAAAGTATCGATCAAACAATTTCAGATTTATGCTCGTTGGAAAGGTGAAATTTCGCAGTAAAAAAAATTCTTTTGCTGTTTTTTGTTCAGTTGTGAGTTACAGCGTGTTACAAATGGAAGTGAACAAAAAGAAAATTCGGTACATTTTACAGTTTTTCTTTGACAAAGGCGAGAATGCAAGCCAGGCGGCTAAAATTGTGAATGGTGTTTATGGTTCCGATACGGTAACAGCCAATTATGTGCAATTTTGGTTTCGTAGATTCCGTTCAGGAATTTTTGATGTTAAAGATGCACCTCGCACAGGTAGGCCGGTCGTCGAAAATGTCGATAAAATCGGGGAAATGATCAAAGTTGACCGGCATGTTCGCAGTCGTAACATCGCCCAGGAGCTAAAAATCGACCATAAAACAGTTTTAAACCATTTACACAAAGCTGGATTCAAAAAGAAGCTCGATGTTTGGGTGCCACACCAATTAACAGAAAAAAACATGAGGGATCGAATTTCCATCTGCGAAGCCTTGGCCAAACGGAATGAGATAGACCCATTTCTTAAACGGATGGTGACTGGAGATGAGAAATGGATCACATACGATAACCCTATGCGAAAACGATCGTGGTCAAAGAGCGGTGAAGCACCTCAAACGGCCAGGAAGGTTTTGCTACGCATTTGGTGGGGGGACTGGAAGGGGATTATTTATTATGAGTTGCTTCCATATGGCCAAACGCTAAATTCTGATCTCTACTGTCAACAACTGGACCGTTTGAAGATAGCGATTGACCAGAAACGGCCAGAATTGGCCAACAGGAGAGGTGTCGTGTTCCACCAGCACAACGCTAGGCCACACACATCTACAGTGACTCGCCAGAAACTTCGGGAGCTTGGTTGGGAAGTTTTAATGCATCCGCCATACAGTCCGGACTTGGCACCAAGCGATTATCATCTTTTTCTTGCATTGCAAAATTTCTTTAATGATAAAAAATTGGAATCTAGGGAGGATTGTGAAAATCGACTACTAGAGTTTTTCGCAAATAGAGACCAGGACTTCTATGAGAGAGGCATTTTGAAGTTACCTTTAAAATGGCAACAAATCGTACAACAAAACGGTGCATATTTGACCCAAATCGGACAATCCGAAGCATGTTAAATAAAGTCCTGAAGTTCATATAAAAATAATGGATTTCTTTTTCCCCAAACTAATAATAATATTTACATAATTCCAGAAGAGCTTCTACCTGAACGCGGCGTCCAAGTGCTTCCAAGCATAAAAGTAATTATGGACCAAAAAAAAAGCTCGTAAAACGTAGATTCATTTTTTCCTCAAACATGAAAAAACACAATCATTCACATATATTATTTATGAGAAACATTTTGTTTTCGCTAACAATTTTGAACAACAATCTATAGAAATGACTTTCTTTAGCCTTATTTAGCTTAAATCCCTTAAAATAATCGTAATCTTTGAATGTCAACGAATTCCTGATGGAATATGAAACAACACACTCTCTAAAATATAACTAGAAACTTATATTCGAATATTTCTCTTATCAATATCAACAAATCGGTTCATATATCCGACTAAATATTAAAAACGAGTTAACTATGTTCCCATTTTTGCTGAAATATTCCTTTAAAATTGGCCACCACTTGCTTTAGAGCGTTAAGCAGTAATGTTCTTAATTTTTTACAATTAAATGCAAGATTTTTTTGCTTTGAAATCTGACTTATATAAGATAAATAACGTGTACGATGCTAGCAGCAGTACAATGGGCGAATCAATATTAATTTACGTTCGATCTTATAATGAAATTTCTTAAATAAGTTCAGGAAGGATATTAACGAATTCGATCCAAATCGAACGTAACTTATTTCTTATTAATTCGCGCAATAATCTTAATGGGGCTCCATAAATAGCGATTTTATGAAGACTATTATTCAATATACATCATATGTAATACTGTGTTCAATAAAAGATACCGTATATGAGCTAATAGTTTCAATACCTCGTATACGATACAATATGGTGTTTGCGTTGCAACATTTCTTGTACGTTAAGGTGTGTGTGTCGTCATACGATGCAGTACATACTGAATGATACCAAAACTATTAGAGGCAATACGATATATAGACGATACAATATATTGTATATCATGCGATATGTCGTACGCGACACGCTTTGTTGTGTACGCTACAATATATCGTAAGCGATATCTTGTATACGATAAAATATATCGTGGACAATACAGTATATCATAGATGACATAATACGTTATGGACGAAATGATATCTCGCGTAGGATACGATTTTTCATATTCGACATTGTATATCTTATATCATGTATATCATACTATATGTTGTTAGTCTAAGAATAGGCTGAAAATAAAAATTTACTAAATATGAAGAATTCATCACAATTTTCTTTGAGTACTTTTACAAGCGTTACCAGACGCATCTTGGGCGCAGCTAAGGGAATTTCAAACTAATGCAATCTAACATTTCCATCCTGCTTATCTTATCTTACTAATGTCAAAGAACATTCTCGCGTTTTAATGTATGCTGACGGCATTAAACTTATCTTATAGATCGCGTGATAGTCAAGCCCACGTCTATCCTCAAGAAGACCTCGACCATTTTTATAAATGTATATTTAATTACCCTAAATATTAACAAACGTAAGTAGATGCTTTCTACTTGGTCCAATGCTTTCAATACAACAAATAAAATCAATAATATTCATATTGATAAATCAGCTTCAAATTACTGACCCCGGAGTCCGGTTTGATAACAAACTGTCTTTCATTGCACATACAAAAGATTACCGTCAATAAGGCACAAATCCCATTGGGCTTTATCAAGCGCTGAGCCAAAAAACTTCGTGATCCTTACACTACTAGATTGCTGTATATCTCGCTAGCGAAAACTGTACTGGAATACTGTTCGATTATCTGGCATTCATAATGTCAAATGATCTTTACCGTAAACAGACCGTTAAGTTTGTAGAAGCACGGTTCCCGCGGTTTTTTGCCTAGGAATATCCTTTCCACCATATAGCAATCGTTTCGCGCTTATTATGCTGCCAACTCTTGAAAGTAGACGAGTCATGCTCAATGTGTGCGTCTGTTGTTCATAAGCTTCTGACTGGCATACCGAGTACTTCACAACAAACTGTGGCTTCGGATCCCATCCAAGGATTGTGAAAACAATATAATGCAACCTATAAATTGATCGTCTTTGGCATGAATACTTCTACCATAAAGTCGCAGATTATTAAACACTTGAACACTGTGCAATGACAAGCTTTTTTCGCCCCCGTTGCTGATCGACAGTTTTTCAAATTTTTATTTTTACGACTAAATTTATGAAGTCCGTAATGTTTGACTGTATGATAGTTGTATTGGTTGAAGTGCACTTTGTAACTAAAAAAAATAAACAACGATTAAAATAGCGCTTATCTGTTTTGCGGAGTAAGTACTGAGCACGCTATATGCTAAGCAAACGCTATTTTTTTTTTTTTTTTTTGCTTTCATTAGATCGGGAATATTATTTCGATCAAGAAATTGAATTAAACTTTTTATCGTATTTTTGAGAGGATTGCTTAGGAGTTTTTGAAGAATGAGGCAAACCGCTTGAACTGTCACATAACGTTGCTTTCTTTAATGTATTTAATTATTGACAGCATGGAAGCTTTGGAAGCGCACCGCTATGATCATTCTTACCAACATCCTTAACATTGTTATTAAATAAAAACAATATTTTTCAAATAACATTTTGTTTAAATAAATTAAAAGCTAGAATATACATTTTTTTTCGGTTCCATTTTATATAAGTGTACATACTTACCTACATACAACGCTTGGCGCGTTTGGTAAAAATCGAATTAGTTACGTATTAAAATATTAAATGACATAAACATTCACGGACTGGATACAAAGTCACTTATAAAATGAAACTTAAATTAAAAATTATTTAAAACAAGTAAAAGCGCTATAGTGGGCAGCGACCCACCCTTAATAAGTACCCTATACCATCCCACAATAATTCATAAATGACAATTGAAAATCAAACGTTATAGGGGAAGGGGATCGGAAAAGTGATCCGATCCGAACAATTTTCAATAGAGTTTGTCCTCGAGCTAAACAACTTCATCAAGACATCTTCAATATTGCACACTTTAAGTTGAGTACGAGAAGACGAGACTGACAGACGGACAGACAGACAGAGAAACTTATCATTTTAAATCATTTCGGCATCGACCCACCCTTAATAAGTACCCTATACCATCCCACAATTATTCATATAATGACGATTGAAAATCAAACGTTATAGGGGAAGGGGATCGGAAAAGTGATCCGATCCAAACAATTTTCAATAGAGTTTGTCCTCGAGCTAAACAACTTCGTCAAGACATCTTCAGTATTGTACACTTTAAGTTGAGTACGAGAAGACGAGACTGATAGACGGACAGACAGGCAGAGAAACTTATCATTTTAAATCATTTCGGCATCGACCCACCCTTAATAAGTACCCTATACCATCCCACAATTATTCATAGAATGACGATTGAACGTTATAGGGGAAAGGGATCGGAAAAGTGATCCGATCCGAACAAGTTTCAATAGAGTTTGTCCTCGAGCTAAACAACTTCATCAAGACATCTTCAATATTGCACACTTTAAGTTGAGTACGAGAAGACGAGACTGACAGACGGACAGACAGACAGAGAAACTTATCATTTTAAATCATTTCGGCATCGATACGTATAGCAAGGCTTTCTGAGTGCTGAGTGCTGAGTGCTGAGTGCTTTGTGCTGAGTGCTACACCTGTGCAAACTTGATATACCCTTAAACCCGAAATTGTGTGTAGGATATAAAAAGCTTCACTTTTAATATAACTTTTTTTTTTTTTTTGTTCTTTCTCTATTACAAAGCTTTAAATGATCAACCAACCTTTCCTTCATACAATTCTATTCGATTTTTTCATCTAGCAAAAAAAAAAAAAATAAATAAATAAAAAAATATTAATAATAAAAACTTAAAAAAAGAAAAATATACTAAAATTGATTTACTTTCTTTAGGATATATCTTCTTCTTCGCATTATAAAAGGAAATCAACGGTAATTATATCGAAAATTTATTCACAATAAAACTGCAGTATTTTACAAAAACAGTTAAGCAAAACTTATTCTATTTGTATACCCATCACTAGATAGAGCTTGAAAGCGTTATAGTTTTGAATCATTAAAAACAGGAAAGGAAATAAATTTTGGGCGCTAAAACTTAAATTATAATAATCAAACTTTCTGCGTCCATAGATCGATCCGTCTAATTGCTTGTATTTACAAAATTCTTCTCCATAAGCTTAAGTGCTAGGAGTGCTATAAACTATGCCCGGTGGGGCATGGTATATATATAAAAAAATTTCTCATTTATTTTATTTCACAAATATTACATAAGCACAACGGTATGTATTTCGGTTCATTTGTTTTTTGTTTGATTAAAGTAATCAAAAAAAAAAAAATAATAATTTGAAAATTTATTAGAGACCTTAAGCTTTCAACGAAAAATGTAACGTTCTCTATCTTATGTGACACGTATCATTAATTATATAAGAAGAAATTCACCATTGCAATTGCAAATATTCATACAAAATGCACATGCACATACACATACATATACACGCATACGCATACGCATACGCATACGCACACGCATACACAGATACATTTCAAAAGCCATAAATTAAACCCTTTTAGTATCAAATAATGGCATAAGAAGATATGCACCTAAGCACAGACATATATATGTACGCATACATGAATTTGTAGCCATTAAAGCACATTAACACAAATAATAACGGATACTAACATAGTTCTACATTATATGAACGAATGAAGGAATAGATTAGTTGAAGAAATGCTTAATTCGTATGTACACGTGTTTGTAACATATTTTGCACTTCGATTAATAGTTTACTAAAATGTTATTAATGCCATTAGCATATATAACGTTTTCATATCCTGAGAAAATTATTAATGTATGTATGTATGTGTAGCGAGGGTATATATTGAAACTAGTAAGCAAACTTAATGATGGTTATCTATCTATCCTTTAAGCTTTTTTTCAATTTTTTTTCACTTTTCTCCATTTTTTTTTTTTTTTTCCATTTAATTAAATTTAATAGAAACTTGAAATATTTGCACAAAAAGGAAAAATTTTTACGGAAAAATTATCCTTAAATGTTATGCATAAGCATTTATAGCAACACTGATTGAAAACAAATGTATACGTTCGTGGTGTGTGCGTGCGTGCGTGCGTGCGTGCGTGCGTGCGTGCGTGCATGCGTGCGTTTATGTTTATGTGTTTATATGTCTTTATATTTGTTGTTTTTGTTTTTGTTTTTGTTTTTGTATCACTTGGGAAACCTAATACCAGCTAATGGCTGTATATGAATTAAACGATCCATCCTCATCGTCATAATCATCCATCCTTATGTTCACCATGAATAACAAACGTTAGATTATATACATATTACGGTTTTAGCTGCTTAATGCTGCTGTTGCCGCTATTCCTGCTTCATTCTCGCTACTCATCTATAAAACATTTACTTTGCTTACTCTATATAATCTGCACTTTAAGTACACTTTACTCAGATCTCTGTTTTCAGACGACGCATGAAGACCAGAGAAAAAAAAAAGTAAATAAAACAAGCTTTACTAACAATTTTTCATCCTGGATTTTAAATGGACATAGGAAGGCTTAGTGCATTTTAAATTCTCCCTGTTTGGTTTTAGCAAAACAAAAAAAATAAAAAAAAAACCTAGCGGAAGAAAGCCGAGGAATACGAAATCTCTTATAGTTTGGCCACATTGGTGGTTTTTAACCTCGGTCCTTTTGTGCTTAACACAAATCATTTTGATGGTCAAGGAAATGTGAATACGGTATTTAACCGCAAATTAGTGACACATGCTGGAAGCATAAATGAAAAATTATTTTATTTTTTAAATGACAGAGACCCAGCTAAAAACACATACATATCCTTTGTGCCTTTTAAAATTCAACAACTCTACGCTAGACGATATGAAATGAATAGTTGGCACGCATACCGTAATAATGCGTTTGATTTATTGCGGCATGATTTTAAGCTACTTACTGATGGTTCATAGATAGCGAGACAATGAATATTTAACCCTGATGCAAAATCATTTTAAATTAAATGCAAAATCTAAACGAAATAATTTGCAGCCTATTGGTATACTTTACCTGCAAATCCGTTCATAAGTAATTGGTTAATATTTATTTAAAAAAACCAAATCTCATGCAATGCCGCTAATCGCCGCCACGAACACAATAAACGAAGATATTCGTATCTAAGATGAAATTAAACAAATATTTAATTGTCGATCCCATAATTAGGTTAAAATTCGCAGATAGCTGTACAGGTACATGCTTGGCCCTTTTTCTTAGAAAGTTACAAATCACAAGTAATTGTATATAATTATGATACATGTAATATACAATATATCAAATCGCTTCGAATGTTACATAACCTAGGTAAGGGTAAATTCTTGCCTTCATGTTTGCCTAAAGAATACAAAAGCTAGTGACAACGCTGTAGGGAACCATGGCTCAACGTAAAATATATTACACCATCTTACCGGTATTCGTATAACGATTTCTATCAAAATAAGTTCGTATAAGGGAATGGCTCGAAAATCATTTCAACAGCATTCGTCTTTGAACTGAAACATGTCAGTGCACAAAATTTCGCCAAATTTTCTCAAAAAAATGCAAAATATCTACGTAGTAAAGAATTGTTTCTTATAGAATGCTTTGCAGAATCGTTATATTATCATAATCGACATATAAGATGTGTCTTTTCTTATCTTATGGACTTGGAAATGCAACACACCTATCTCGTTCGACGTGTTAGCGCAAAACGATCACAATAGTCATTGTTGGAAGAGTTTTTTTTTTTTTTCGAGATCAAAGTCAGAATCCAGAATTCGTTCTTTATTGTGAAAATTTTACGTTCCTTTGTGCTAAAATTACTCGCTTTCTTATTTCTATTGTTTAGATTTTAGCTAAGTCATTTATAAAAAGACACACACTATTTCGTTGCTTTTCCTTTCCACACTCTCACTGCTCGATATTTACTAATCTTAGATAATTACTCGTGTACGCTACGTTAGATACACTATAACGTAGACGGACAGACAGACACGTTTAAATTCATTTAGAAAATTTTTCTGAATCATTCTAACGATTCTATCTTAAGTTCTCCTATATATTTTGCATATATTCGCACAAACTCATTATCATCGCCTAGCTAGCGTAGCTAGGTAGAGTACCAACATATCGTTTCTCCTAATTATAATCTTAGTAATTTTGCTGCTTCTTCTTTTAATTACGGGCGCATTTATCTCTATCTCTAAAGCCAAAGAGCTTGACATCACATTTACAAACATTTACATGTACAAATGTTACAAATGTGATAAAGGGCTGCTTCAACGCCATATCGAATTAAATTTTATGCTGAGAGTTTTTTTTTTATAGCCTTCGCTATGATAGGAATGATAAGAATGAGAGAAGTACTCGTTGCTTACCAAATTATTAATCGTTTTTTCTCCAACTAATAAAAGTAACGAATGCGAACGCTATCGTTATTCAGGCTCTTCATGATTTAACTTAATTGTTCTCTTAAGCGGCGGGAAAAGAAAGTTATCTGATTTGAAGATATTATAATGCCTTGTCCCGATTATTCACGAATTACGAAATTCATGCTACAATTCCGTGCATAGACGGAAGCCTAAGAAACGCTTTATCTTTCACTGTCGCTGGCACAAATTTGCGAAATGATCGTAATTCGTTTAAAGCAATGCCGTCGGCCGTCATAATAATATGAAAATTTTTAATTCTTTCATGATCGTAAAAATTTGTTGAAGGAAGTCGTAGAATTTACAAACACTCACGAACATAAGCAGTCAGTTAAGTAAGCAACATTTGTTTATGCGAAATCTCAGTTAAATTTTTTTTAAAAATTTACTCTAAAATTTGCTCTCATTGAAATATTATTGATTCCTGGATTGATTTAAGCATCGATCTTTTTAGCTATGAAACAGATCGTAACATTTTGATACTCCTTGGCAAACAAATTTGTCATTCCGTTTGTAGCATCTAAAAGTGCGCAAACGCAAATCCCTTAAAGTGTAGTTTTTTCTTTTCCCCAGGCTGCATACATATTGTGCGTCAATCTCTTGGTAAGCAAATTATTGGCCCATAATCGTCGTAGTTAATTTCTTACTTTAAAAAATCAAGCATTTCTTCACTAATTCCCTCTCTTAGCATCAATAAGCAATGCCAATACTTGTAGAGAGGGAGAGAGAGCGAGAGTGAGAGAGAGAGAGAGAGAGGGGAGGGAGAAAAACACAAAAAATTGTAGAAAATAACCCTAAAGTACTAACTAAAGTAGAAACTGAAAAAGAAAAATTAAAAAAAAAAAAAAAAAAGGTTATTCAACTGCATAGCAAACAGGAAAGAAAAACTCGCCCACATAAAAAGTTCGCACAGCATATATTTAGCTAACCATCACATTGTATGCAATCACAGGGCAGTTATTCCGACTCGCACTCGGACGCATTCACAAATGTATTGAATGTCTAATGCTTTTGTGAACAATTTTGCTTGAAAAATATTCTCTATATAGCTGGGAGTCTCTGTCTCTGTCTCTTTTTCAATGTTATTGTCTTACTACTACTACTACTGCCGATGTTGTTCTTATTGTTGTTGCCCACAAGTGTGAATAATCACACTTGATACATACGCACATATTTGGTATATACGGTCAGCATATAAAAACTTGAATACTTTTTGTCTTTCATAGTTTTACTTATTCAGATTACATAAATTTGTTACCATTGTTGCTGCTATATGTATATATAGATTTCTAAATACACACAACATACACACATACACACACACACACACACACACACACACACACACACACACACACACACGCACACACACACACACGCATATACCTATATAAAGAAACATATGCAGACATACTTAGCCATATATATGGTATACACAAATGTATGCAAGTATGTGTATATATATATGTAAATAAGGGCAAGAACGTTTTTCGAATATTAAACATTGTAGTTTTGAATTTTCTGCAAATTACGATTTATTGCAGTTCGAGATTTGTGGTCAATATTTTACAAAAGTACGGTTCAAATAAAATTATAAAATAGCATAAGCTGTCAGATGTGGTGTGGAGGGGGGGAACAGACAAGTGAAGATGAAAAATGAAAAATTGACGAAAAATATTAATATCTTTAAAGAATTTAAATGTTAAGCAATAAACAAATTCTTTTATTCTTATCGCGTAATAACTTTTATCCCTCGCCTGTCAACGTCGTTGCGGAATAACAGCAGCGAAGCGGCAAAGAAATCAAAATTTATAGAAGAACCTTCCTTATGCACCTATAATACAACGACCAACGAACTGCCCAACGTAATTAAGCGACATATGCTTTTACGAATTTATTGCTGCAACGCCTTGCCAGCCATGTATCTCTTAATTGATGATCAAAACTCATCTAAATATGTCAGCTACATACGCCAGCGACCTGCATCAATGTAAGAAATGTGTAGTGCACGTGCACCTTATCTTACGTAGTGAAAGGAAATTTGACAAAGATGCCATGTTTCTTAAGGAGTTAACACCGCACTATGGCAAAAAGGTATTTCTGGCCACTTTTTCGGGGTTGAAGGAAAGTTAGTGGGGGTAACAATATTCGGAAAGATTATTAAGCGTATACTTAATAATTTAAAAAATAAAACAAAAATTATTTTTTCGAGGAATTTTTTAGAGGAAAACTGATAACGCTTCTCGCGACGCGACTTTAGGTGAAAATATTGTGCGGCCAAAGCTTTTTTGATGCGAACTTTAATCAAAAAAAACCAAACATGTTCATAACTATTATGTGGTCGGCGAGCGGCTGAGTAAAAAGAAAACAATACTTCAGTTTTCGTTGTATGAGAGGGGGTTCAGAAATTGCCTCAGTCGGTGTAAAGTCTTCTTATTAATTTAAAAAAATGTTGAAATATTATTACTTAGCCCCTTTTGTCGGGAAATTTTCTCCCATATAACGACTTTTCACAATAGGACGTTATATGAGGAGTGGCTGGAAAAGTGGGCCGATTCGGACTATATGTTCGTCCTTGTTTAACCCAACACGTCCAGGTGCCAAATTTCATCAAAATATTTTAAAAAATTTGCGACCTATAGTTTGAAGGAAGAAAAACAAAATGGTCTGACGGACAAAAAAGATTAAAAGTGATTTTAAAACGATCATTATTATAAGAAATGAGTTTATCTTAAACCCTTCTTGGTGTTATATACATCCAAACAAACTAACTGCACCCTGCACCCTGCACCCTGCACCCTGCACCACCATATGTGGCGTAGGCTGTAATTATGTTGAGCACGCATTTGGGAATAACAAAATCAATTCCGCTCCGTCGCCTTGCGATTAACACAACACTTACAACGTTAATCATCGAGATATACATTTCTTTCTTACGTAGATTTTTGTAAAGGTATTAGTAGTGCATTACCAGTTGAAGTAAAAGTTTTAAATGTCTAACTGACATTTCAGCATTTGGTGAACTTTTACAATTCGCATCCTTCGATAGACAAAGGAAGGCGATTAAGTCATTTGAAAATTTTAACGCAATCACAATGCTAATGTATTATTATGTAATATAATTGTTATTGAAAAGTTTTTATGCCCTACACTGCTTATTTATATTACTGCAACTGTAACTGCAAGTTTAGCTAACTTAAGCCGTTGCAATGTGATGTCAGTTGAGTTAGCTTGATTTGATTTCAGTTAACCTACTCGAATATAGAAAAAGATAATATGACTTAAATATAAGGATAAGAGTATGAGGATAATGCGAGATTTGTATATATAATAAAAGCCATAGAGGAGTTTGTTGCCTAAGGTGTTATATATTGTAACTAATTCAACTAATTTTTTCGTTGTTAGTTAGTTAACGACGTCGTTAAACTTATTAATTTTGCATATAATATATCTGCACTCCAATTCCTTTTATTTGATACCCACATCGACGGGATCGTGGAGCAAAAGTTACCCCATCACATTTTAACCTCGACGATGTTTAACTTGGAATCAAGGCACATAGCTTGTTGCGTTTCACTCTCTCCCAGTCCTTTTATTTTATTCCCGTTTCGATAATACTGCTAAAATAAAACGAGTCCTCCAATTCGTGGAGTCAAACACATTGTCAAACCGATAATATACCTTCACGTGAAGTATGTACGAAACAATTTTCAACATTCTATCCTATTTACCTTATGAGTAAGTACTAAGCAGACAACGTATAATCAAAATCTGATTACTTATAACTTAGTGCGGCCGTATGTGGCTAATCTTGTTCCCATCTTTTCGCTAGAAAAGCAGGGTTCACAAGTAGAGTCCAATAGGTAAATATGAAAAATTTCAGCTTTTCATTTTCCATAATTTAGAAATAATGAGTAAAAAAAGACAAATTTTTACTTGCAGAAATAGATGCAGAATAGATAGCCAGTTTATGCTTTCCAGTGGGCGTGTGCTTTGACCAACTTGCCCCATTTTCAATTGCAACTCGCTTGAAAGAACTGGCTGGCGGGCGGTGTTTTTGTCAAATTTGAAGACGACGGCTTCATTTTTTACTTAGAGATATTACGTTGACATGCAACACAGACAGACAAACAGATGGATAGACATGTTTAGATCGATTTAAAATTTCATGCTAATCAGGAATATATATATATATATATATATATACTGTATAGGATTTCTGTAGCTATCTTTTGGGTATAGCAAACGTTTCGACAGAACAAATATACCCTTCATTTTTTGGTGACGGATAAAAAAATAGCAAAAAGAAAAAGTGCATTAAGAAAGTAACGAAATACACAAAACTCGCTTTCACATCGAAACAAATCAAATTAAATTCATTCTGATCAATTTCTAACCGCAGCAAATACTTCTAAAACCAATCAATCTTTTACAAGACTTTTTTTATTTGATTTGTTTTAATATATATATATATATATATTTATATTTATATGTGTGTGTGTGTGTGCACAGAAGGAAAAACTGTTCCCTTAATATGTTTTATTGTCACACTTCATGCAAAAGTGGAACACGAAAGAAAAAAAGCATTTTTTTTTTTTTTTTTTTTTTTCATGTTAAGCACACTAATGGGTTTATAATGAATTGTGTGCGAATGTTGTGTGAGTCGGTCTAGTGATACTTTATTTTAAACTTTCTGTTGATTTCGTTTTCTCTTTCTCTACTACCTCCCCACGCTCACATTTCGTTCGTTCTTTCTCTCTCTCTCTCTCTCTCTCTCTCTCCCTCTCTCTCTCTCTTTCTCTCTGTAGCTAGCAAAAGTTTTCTATCACTCACTTATCACTAGTTTTTTTCTATTTAATAGTAGAAAAAATGAAAAACAAAAAAAAACAAAAAAAACAAAAACAAAACAAAAGAAAATGCATTGTAGACGCACGTTGTGAAAAGAAAATCAGAAAATCTTCAACGTTTGTTTGGTGTACTGTTAATAATTTCCTTTTCCTACCTTTGTGCACGTATCCATACGAAATGATTCTTGAATCTGTGGAAACCCCTTAAGCAATTTATTCCACTCAACAATTCATTTTGTTTAACACTTTTGTAACAGTTTTAAGCAAACGTCGCCGCGTTACATACATATATTATGGGTTCTTACTCTTTACGCTCACTTACTATCCCTTTTTCATGTATCTGGTCTGGTTACCTGGCACTTTTTTCGTTTCACGTTTGGTTTCTCTTTTTTATTTCTTTTTTGAGAGTTTCGCTCTTTCTAAAAGTAAATGTGTTTCGTGTGTTCCTCTGCATTGTTTATTAACTCATAGGACTACGTGACAGTCTATGATGGGTATACTACGCGTGATCCGATTATATTGAAATTTTGTGGCGGCGGTCAGGCAGTACCCTCGGCTGTATCCAGTGGCCCGGAATTACTGGTAGAATTCACTACATCACCGTATGGCACGTTTACGGGCAGTTCGTCGCAAGTCTTGCCTTTATATGGATTTCAATTGGAGGTAAATTTATTGATTATGAAACATAATTATTATTGTCACAATATGCCTATCATAGGTTGAAGTAATATTTGTGGACATACAAAGTCCAACATATACGAAAAACAAGAAACCCTGCGAATTTTGGATACGCGGTGCAGGACGTGGTATCTTAGAGAATCCAAAGCATTCTTTAGCTCCAAACACCACTTGCTTATATCATTTACAAGGCATCGGTGTTTTTAAAACTTTCGATCATTTAAGTTTGTCGCGACGTACCAATAGTCTAATGCATCAGCCGCAGTCGCGTTTTAAAGTTTGGATTTCAATGATGAAATTCAATTTGGATCCAGAATTTGGACAAATTGATGAGACGTCCGTAGGAGCGATAGGGGTATTACAAACTCAGGAAGATTGTAGCGGCATGTTACGCATATGGGACGGTGCTCTAAGAGAGCCGCCACAATGTAAAGACTTGAATTGGTAAGTTGCTCATGCAAGCCCCTGCAAGACGAATGCCAAAAAAAAAAACAAATTCTAAAATTCGAAATTCTTTCCTCACCAAACTTAGCGCCAGCGATATGCCACAAGTCCATCCCTCACTGGCTCAATATAATCCTCATAATATAACAAATGTTATAGCAAGATTTTGTCGTGGAACAATACCGCGGACTTGCGATCGCTCCAACATCAACGAAACGTACGCCAGGCCATGTACCGTATCGGAAAGTTACGTTTCGAGCAGTGATTCAATAACTTTAGAATTAAAAAACACCGAATCGACGGTGCTTAGGTAATGTTTTAATTCTTTAAATTTCTTTGCCACTAGAAAGCCAATAAATATCTTCTCTCGCAGACCGTTAGAGTTCAAATTGAAATATGAATTCATTGACCTACATCAGGATGGCCTACCGCTGGGTGGCGGCGAACATGATTGCAATCGTAAATTTATTAGCAGCCTTATGGACCGTAAAGATCCCGCCATCTTTCGTAGCGTGCGTAATATATTTTTATTTGGCCGCGGTGGCACACGCAACCTGAGGTGCATATACAAGTTTGAGGGAATGCGTGGCGAACGCGTACGCATTAAATTACGCAAAGTAACCACAATGAATCGTCAGTGCATGTCACGTGTCGATGAGGACATAAATAGGTCATTTTGTTATGGCGAAACCAGCGCCAAAGTGGAGGTAAATTTATTCAACATAAACGTGACTTTCAGCGAACAAACTTACACTTGAGTAAATTTATGTATATTTGTTTCTATTTCTCTCTCTCTCTCTCTCTCTCTCTCTACCTCCCACTTAAATATAGATATTTGAGAGACCGTATCATGATTCAATATTATTACCGCGTGGATGTCTATGTAATTCGTCAAATTCATCACATTTACCGGTTGAATACACATCAACCAGTCGCGATGTTGAAGTTCATTTTACAGCCTTTAATATGTCAACTTTAGATGATCCAGATGCCTTAAATTTTGAGGGTATGTTCGAGTTCATTAAAGGACCAACCAATTGCAAAGATGGTAGAAGAAAATTCGGGCCTAGCGGCACCATTGATATGACATTCGGTGATGTAAGTACATATTTATATAACAACTGATTTCCATCAAGCATAAAACGACTTAGGTAAAACTTATTCGATCCCGAAGCTCATTTTGGAAGTTTCATTCGCAATGAACGGCAGTACGCGTCAGAGAATCGACGCGGCATCGATCAGTCTGCGATTTAAATCGGATTCATAAACTCATTATAATTTAGATAGAAGAGAGAAACTTCACCTCTTACACTTGCGGCTGCAATTTAGATTGAAAAAAGGGGCGAGGTCAAGCGAGTGTAAACAAGCTTATAATCCAATATTAAAAAGGAATATTTCAGAATTGCAGCATCTCTCTCTTATAGATGCCACTCCGCGAATTTTTCAATTGCATCTTATTCACGAAAGAAACCCCTTATAAAGTACTTAATCTATTCTAAGAGACCGATTAACTATCGAAATGATTTTTTGTTTCTTTTACCCTACAACCACTTGGGATACAAGGTTATACTAAGTTTGTGCGCATGTATGCAACACGCAGGAGAACTTGAGATTGACTTTTTTTTGTCACCAAAACTTCACCTTTTATTATACCGAACGATATAAAATCTCTTCTAACCTTGTCTGACCGTCTGACCATTTAGTTTTCTTGTGTTCAATGTGTAGACCGTAATTTTTGAGACCGGATACGCCGCGATATGTTTTGGCTCAAGGACAAACGCCGTTATAAAGCCTTATTTTTCAAAGTCGTTATATGAATAGATGCATTAAATACAATGGTGTAGAGTATCGCGCCCCGCCACGCCCTACTATAGTGTTTTTTTTTTTTTTTTTTTTTTTTTTTTTTTTGAAAAAAAGTAAGAAATGTAGCCGAAGTTTTAGAAGGCATTGTTCATAAAATAGATTTATGATTGGGATTAGAACGTAAAATCTAAGAAAGACCGTTAGATAACTAAATGATCGAAATATATTGAATACACACACACACACACAACATCGGTACAGTTATTGAATTCTATTAAAATTGTTCTTCTTTTTTTTTGCTTTTTTTAAAAATTTCTTTGAATACTGCAGTTGGAATGTCGTACTCGACCTTGGCTGATTGAACCTTCGAATGGCAATAAGTTTTTATATGTACGCTTGAAGGCCATATTCTTACGTAAATATAATCCGAAAAGGACAATGAACACAACAGTTGTGGGGACAAGTTCATATCGTTGTGAAACGAAATCAAGAGCCGTACTAACAACAGCTGAAGGTAAACAATAACGCAGCAGAAGGCAAAAAGGAAAACTTGAAATTCATAATTTTTTTTCTTTCTCTCTTTCCTCTTACCATTAAAGGTTTAACAATCACTGCCTGTCCTTTGGCGCCTGACTCGAAAGCCTACGAATTTGTAGAGATATTTAGTGCTGGCTGGAATGAAAGACCAAATTTTGCTTTAGTCAATCGTTCAAAAGCCATTAGTGTTGAATTTTTGCGTCCGGCAAACGGTGATTTCTCGTTCAATTGGATGGAATTGATACCTCGACCTACAATAAGCTTAGCAGGTAAAACATAAAATAAAAACAACAAGAATTGATTGTACATTTGTTTGCTTAAAATCTTAGTAAAAGATGAACAAAAACGAAAACAATGAAAGAACACAAGCACTATTGTTGTTGTATTGTCATGATGTAGATGATTTTTTTTAATTTTTTTTTGGTTTGGGTTTCTTTTTATAACCAGAAGACTGTCAATACAAGTGCTCCGAGTTAAACGCTTGCGTTAATGTTAGTGTTTGGTGTGATGGCGTGGTGCACTGTCCCTCAGGCGATGATGAAACATTTTTGCAATGCTCGGCGATTATGAAATTGCCGACAGAAATATTGGCCACCTTGTGTTTGATTATTGTACTCTTCTGTTGTGCATTTGCAGCCTTCGCCTATAAGTAAGTAATCTAAGCAAACAAATCCTTTCAAATGAATGAATTTTTTTTATTAAAAAAAAACAAAAAAAAACAAAAATTTTTTCCCTTTCCTTATTCCAAAAAAAAAAAAAAAACAAAAAAAATAAGAAAAATTAAACGAAAACTACGTGGCTCAACAATGCTGCAAACGAGATTAAAGTCTTTAAGTTCCATGGATACAGCTGTGCTGGACGAGAAGGAAGTGATTTGCTGACAAAGCGATAATTCTGTGCGCTATGTGGAAATAGATCGTGTCACTACAGTCTGACCGCTTACTATTAACACCTTGATAATATATCGCACGGAATTATGCCGTTGGACTGTTTTCACAATAATACAGCAACACAAAGCAAACACACAACTAACACTACACTACTCAATTCTACTATTAATTTTAAAATAATGTAAAGACGAAACGAAGAGAAGTGAAAAACCAAACTCACCTGTTTTTAATGCATTTTTTTAGAAATTAAATATTTAAAATTATATACATATATATATATATATATATCAAATATGTATATATATATATATATATGCATGTATGTATGCACGTATATATGTATATATATATATATATATATATCATGTATATATATATATATATATATATCATGTATATATATATTAATATATACATATAAATAAGAAATGTTAAAACGAGATCCAAAGGTTTAATTAAAGAAAAAGTAAGAAACCCAACATTAAAGTTAAGAAACTTAAAGAAAACTTTTCTACGTAATAGCAGACATATGTATTACTACCCCATTCTCCCATTTTTATCACTGACTAAGTTCGTATCCTTTAAAAGGTTTTTAATTAAATTTAAAAAAAAAAAAAAAAAAAAATTAAAATTAATATTAAAATATAATAAATGTTTTGTTAATAACTGTAACTCTTTAGACCAATTGAATAGAAAACGAAAACTAAAATTAATATAGAAAACAATTATGACTTTTAGCATTAATTTTTTAGTAAAAATATGTATGGAGTAAATGATTTTAGGATTATATTTCTACCCTAGCATTTATTATGCGACGCACAAATAATTGTTTGACAACAATTTTCCGTTTCCATCGTTGTTTTTTCTCCTTTCTCTCTTTATTGTTTATTATTCATCTATTCATTTTTTTTTATTTTTTCTCCTTCCCGCATTCTCTTCTTTTCACATCCTCTCGCTTTCTCTCTCTCTCTCTCTCTCTCTCTCTCTCTCTCTCTCTCTCTCTCTCGCTCTATCAATAAATTTATTTCATTCTTCGCTTCCTATCCCTGATTACCTTTTCCCTATTCTTCTCTCTTATTTGTGCTCTTTGATCATTTATTTAACAACCTACTCCTTATATATATTTGTCGATCCATCCATTCGATGATTTTGTCTCTATATCTTATGATATTTCTCTTTCTATCGCTTTTTATAGCGCTCAGCTCTTTATATTGTCAGACGTAGCGAACACTAATACGAACGTCAAGAAACGACCGCATCCTGAGGAGGCAGTGTATGCAAAGATTACCTTTGATTACATTTGAACGAAACACTAAAGATTAAATTCAAAACAAGACCAAATTAATTCTTTATTGGACGAAGATTTTAAACTAATTCAGGCGGATACTATGAACGATTTGTCCCATAAGAACGAGGAAAGTTTAAGCAAATTTGTAAAAAACTGCTTTGCAAGGAAAAAAAAACATTACAATCCCTTTGCTCAAAGATCTGTCGTAATATGTAACAGTCGCTTATGTTCATTAGGCGGAATAGTTTGCACGTTCTTTTGTCGCCAAGGATAAAAATACCCAAATTTTACCTCAAGTACTGCCGTCTGTCAATAGGATATCACGAACTCATTGAAAATATTATAGAAGTCTTACACGGCGTCACGGTGTCCTATTCCAAGAGATGAACGTATGGGCGACACAGTCTTGATTTGCCGCAAGGAAAATAGCGAGAAAATCTTTACCCTTTACAAAGATAGAAATTTTTCATCTTCAAAAAAAAAAACACATATTGAGATTAACAGCGCTTTGAACAAAGCAACAACATATTTTGTTTTTTCAAAAAAAAAAAAAAACAAAAAAAATCGATTCTTTTCAAGACTCATCTCATCGCCAAAAGTCGAATCATCGCTTGGTGAAAAGCGAAGTTTTCAAGTGTCTCAATTTTCAAATAGGATGCGGTTAAGGGGTAGGGCCACCATAAGTTTTTCAAAAAATCAAATTTCATTTATTGACTTAAATGATTCTTTAAATAGTCACGAATGGCATAAAAAGACAATTGTGGATTTGGCAAAATTTTAAATGGTCACATATATCGATTTTCGGAACATAATTCTACGGCAATATGCGGACACTTGGAATGCGTTATTCTCAAAAACAAAAAAAAAAAAAGAACAAATTGAAAACGCTTCCGATCGGTCCACATTTTCAATCATTCTCCATTCTTTATATATGAAAAATTCATCTAGTAATCATATTTTGCCATTCAAAATTGGCTGAGAAAATTTGGGATCGAATCTTTTTCACTGAACCGTTCCAGCTGAATCCTTAGATAGTAAAACTGTCTAATTTTCAATACGTTTTGATGATAATTTATTCATAATAATAATAATTTGACATTAAATTTAAACCTTACCGATTTTAGACCAAGTAACTCTATTTATTGGATTCTAATCCATATTAGGATTCGATAGAAAAATAAACTTTTACATGCCAAAAAAAATCTCATTTTTAATATATAATGTCCAAACACCATAGGTAATTTGAACCATATATACGGTGATCTTATGAAAGCAGGTCCGTCTAAAGTCCGGTAAAAATCTAATTTATAGTTTATTACAGCGGAGACACATGGAATATAATAATAATCTTTGACAAGTAAATTAATTTTGTTAAACTTGCATCGTGTCAGTTTGACGTTTCGAGTATGCTCCAATAGAGAAGGACGTTCATGAAAATCATGCATTTACATAAAAGTAATATTTAATTTTTGATGTATTATGAGGAAAACGAGTGAACGGCTGTAATAGGCGAAGTAGTGCAGGATATTTAAAAGTCCGCCTTGCCCCGACTTGCTTTTAATAACAAAAGAGTGCCCTTCCAAATTGGTCAAATTTTAACTATCCATCACACGAAAACCAATATTTCTAAAACAAAAAATTCTGTGTGTATCACTAGCTATAGGCAAGCAGGTTAAATGCTTCTTTTCAATTCCCCCATTTGTACCAGTTACAATGTGTACCGCAACAGGCACCGAGAATGCGAGAATGGCTTCGGTGTTGTCATTTTTTTAATTTTTTTTTCAGAAATATTTTCACTTTTCCTTTTAATACTTAAATCTATGCCTAATAAATCAATTATTTTAATTCTTTTTTTTTTTTTAAGTTATTACAGTGACCTAATCCGTTAAAGTGATCGCTGATGGTCATCATAAAAAACGCTTCAACGAGATTATTTTTAATTTTTTTCTCTTCCTCCGAAATATATATTTCATATCGGAAATATCGGAGAAAATTTTCCTAATTATGATGAGCATTTGATTGTATTGTAAATTAAAAACTTTAGAGCAAAAAAGAAAAATTCGTGAAAATTATTCAATTACTTCTAGGGCTGATATTATTCGAATTATAAACGAAGGTCAAAAAGTATGTGATATTTCAAACAGTAATTCATTGAATTATTCGAGGGATCAAACTTGTCCTCTAAACAATTAAAATCTTTCGCTTTTATCTTCGAAAAAAAAAAAAAAATCATTATAACATAACGTCATTAATACACGACAAAAACTCATAGCAATGCCTTGTAATCACAAATTTCTTTTTCCAGAAAATTTCAAATTTTCTAATGTCTATGGACATTGGTACGATGGTGAAGGAAAAGTACAAAAAATTGTTCCATGTATACGGCTCCTGAGTTAACGAGAACATTTTATGTTATAATTTTTTTTTTTTTTTTTTTTTTTTTTTTTTTTTTTTTTTTTTTTTTTTGGTACCTTATTGATCAATCATTATAAAATTTGTTGTTTGCTGTAAAAATTGAATTCGGAAAATATTTCATGAATTTTGCATTACATCTACCTAAAAATCGGGAAAGATTTTAAAACAAAATACAATTGAGCCCAACGTAAAGTATTCTATACAATATATAAATGATGCCTTGATGCTCAAGAAATATTTATTTATCATATATAAATGGAATTTTTTTTTAAATTTTTACAAAAGTTTGCTACAGAAATGTCATCATGTGATCATGCGTGAAATGAATTTCATTACAGGTATAAAATATTCATCGAAATGAATTCGATAATTGAATTGAAAACATTTCAATGAAATTCGAATGCGTTTCGAATCGACTAAAGTTAGTAAAAGGAAGCTAGCTCGCTTTAAAGCATAAATGAGTTTATGAAATTTCGAAAAGTTTTCAAGGACTCTTTAACAATCATTTTTAAAAACTATTTTAAGAGATCTTTACAAATTTTGTTTTTCATTTATTTTGTATACAAATCTTTTGAATACCTAACTATAACAAATCACGGCCCATCATCATTCAATACTCCACACCACTCCTACTACAACTATGCATATAATGACTTCACAAAGTATGTCGTTGTATATGAAGTGGTTGAAGACGTGAAACGATCCAAATCATTTTCAGTATAAGTCGCCCTTGAATGCACACCAATCATGAAAATGATTTTGAATCGAGAAAGTGGATCTAGCTCAAGTTCTTCTGGGTGTACAAGTGGTGTAGGATACAAAAAAAAAAAAAAAAAAAAAAAAAAAAGAAAAAATAAAAACAAAAATATTTTTTTTAAAACTTTGCATTTTTAACAAATTAAACGAAAAGTTTCCAATATGCAATATTTTGCTTGAAGCATTCAAAGGAAATATTTTTTGGAAAAAATTATAAAGTTTTTCAAAAATATTATAAAAAAAAACTTTTAAGAATTGTACAATTTTTTTGTTTTTTTTTTTTTTTTTTTCTTTAAAACATTTTTTCTATTTTCAGTCAATTTTTAGAAAAATTGTTGCTATACGTTTCGCTTCATACTTTTAATAAATATTTAAAACAATTTAAAAAACTTCTTTTTTTTTCTTTTGTTTATATTTAATAAAAAAAATAATAAATTTTTTTAGAAGAATTTTATTCCAATTTTTGAACTAAGATTTTTTATTGAGCAATATTGCAAAATTTATGTAACAGAAAGATTTTTACATAAGTAATAAATGTAATTTTGCATCCACCACCGAAGATTGGGACTAATTCATAGTACGTAACAGAGGCTTCATTCAGTTTCATTGATCGGTGTCCTATTACGAATCGGATTTTTGCATAACCATATGTTTAGTCGAAGAACTAAAATCAACATGTCAACCAAATTTAATCAATAGTCATAGTCATATAGGCCAACCTTAGCCCTACGCTCACGTTTAATAGCAAAAATTTTTTAAGCCGAATAAATGGAAAGTAAACTTATTGATAATTTCGATCAGATCTACGAATTTAACTTAACGAGAATGACAAAAAAGAATACTGAGCCGAGCCAGTCCGACCATTAGATACCCCATACCATTTTCCCTGGTACAGTTACTCAGTCCTTTTGGTAATAGTACACCAAAAATTACCCATTAGTTTCATGCGAAGACATACGTTTTCCGAAAGCCCGCACATTGAACGGCGATCAAAACATGATATGGCCTGATCCAGTTCCAGCAAACCTTATATGCTCCCTATTACCTATATTATAATATATCAATTGCATTTTTCCTCTTCATATAAGAGCTTGCTTTTCCCGTTAACCCCTATGTTCGTCGGAGTCTTAAAAAATAGACCAATGCCATCCATACTCGCTGTCACTAATAAAAATAAAAAATTAAATGCTTTTCTAAAGGGCTTACTAATCATGAGAAATCTTGTATGAAATGGATTCCATTTGGTTCAAATTTGATTCACTTCATCTCTTTTCGCAAAAATTGCAATCACGAGGAGATTTTCATCATAAAACATTAAACACTTAAGCCTTTGCGGCATATAAGAGTTTACATTTGTTGAGAATCCTTATATAAGGTGGTATCCAAAGCATACGTTTATCTACCTTATCCAAATTCGGTAAGCTCGATTTATTTGTTAAGCAATTCTCACTGTTCGAAAATTGGACCTTTTCACGATATAATGCATTCAGTTGCAGTCATGGAGTGATCGGAAAATAGGGCAAAAGACAAAAGATCAACTGCGAAAGGGATTCAGAACGTGATTCTAAATCGATCGCCATACTAAAGGATGGGTTCATCTAAAGTGCTTCTGGGTGTTACGCACATTCTTGTACCACAATTGCTGACCAAGTTTATCCTAAGTCAAGCTTTAAGAACGTAATCGTGATTTTGTCTAGACTAATAATCGGAGACGCATGTCTTACTAAGCGCTAATAAATACTTTATGAAGCCTCCGATGCGTACTTATATGAGTTGCAAGCATTTTACAAATCCTTAACATATCCCTATGGTATGCAATTTTTTGAGCAATATTTTCATAAAATCTATCACCACCCTAAGAAATGTATGTATGTATGTATGTAAATATTTATACATATATTCATCTATTTATTCATATCTATGAACTCTTTTTATTTATCTCTATTTTATTTATTTTATTTTTTTTTTTATTTTTTTTTTTTTTGATTCAAATCAAATCAAATGCAGACAATAAATAAATTGAGAAAACAAAACTCTTCAAATATTTTTTGTTTTTTTATTATTAAAAAACATAACAGTAATTAAGCAAAAAAAAAAAGAAGAAGAACAAAAAAACTAAACTAAAGATTATGATGTAAAAGTGAAGCTGCTAAGCGATATGATAAGAAATAAAGAAACAATTTTTAGTTAAAAAGAATTTTGAAAGTAAAACAAAAAAAAAAAAAAAGGGAAAAGGATGAAAAGAAAATGGTAAAAAATTAAGAAGAGAGAAACAATTCCATATTTTAGAAAACGTAAAGAGAAACGAATAGGAAAATAAACCTAAGTTAAATATGATGAACTCATACATATAAAGCGATTATTATGAAAATATGAAACCAACCTAATTAGCAGAAAATGTTTGATAAAGACTTGACTAAATGCAAAAAAAGCGAAAAATTACAAAAAAAAAAAAAAAAAAAAAAAAAAAAAAAAAAAAAAACAAGAAAAGAAATTCAAATTTCATCGAATGTAATTGAGAAAAACATTTGCAACAAATTTTCAAGGTCACTGTTTCACTTATTTACGCATTCAACTAAACCGAAATTAAACTAACTTTCAACGTTAACATTTAACGTCATCTTAAAAAAAAAAAAAGCAGAAAGCATAAAAGCAAAAAATAAATAAACAAATAATCAATAAATCAATATATAAAATGGTGAAATAACAAACCATATAAACCGCTCCCCGAGAGAAGGAAGGACATATTAAAATAAAACAATTTAAAATTTTTTCATTAAAATATTTAAAAAAGAGTAAATAATTAAATAAAACGAAACATTTAAAAAGTAATTACACGGCGTTATGTAATAAAAAAAAAAAAAAAAAAACAAAAAATAAAACAATTAATTATGAAACAAAAAAAAGTTATATAAAAACTGACAGATTTTAATTATTAAACAAATAAAAACTAAAAATTGTGTTGCGAATCATATCATAAAACAGAGAAAGAAGAACAAAAACAATTATAAACAAAAAGAATTTGAATAAAAATAAAGGATAATAAAAAAAATATTATTATTAATCCATTGGTGGTTCGTTGTTGCTTGTTTCCTTTCTTGATGTTATCCTTTTTTCGTTTTTGTTTCTTGTTTTTTTTTGTTTTTTTAATTATTCAAATAAGTCGGGAATTGAGAATCTTCTGACGGTGCCGGTATGGTGACGCCGCCAGTATCCACAGCTGGTTCATGGGGTAACGAATCGATGCTTTCCAAAGGCATAAAACAATCAGTGGATATTTCATTTTTATTATTCGGCTTCGAGGCATTCATCGAATCTTCATTATTAATAATTAATCCCTTACGATGATCTTCCTTATGGGCGTCAAGTTTGCTCTCATTGATGGTAATGAAATTGCATAAGTCGCAAGAGATTCTTTTGAAAGCTTCCTCATGATTTAAACGCATATGACGCTTATAAGCACTGGATTGTATGCACGAATAACCGCATATCTCGCAACGAAATTTACCCTCCTGCGAAACGGAAAAATTGTTACAACCACAACAAGTCAGAAATCAGATAATATTCGCCATCGGGCGAATTTATAACACCACACCTATCCTTCATGCGGATAGGTAGCTGATCACGATAAAGTGAATTTTTTTTTTTTTTTTTGTTTTTTTGAGCCATCCAACGTTAGACAAAATAGTCATATATACGGATTAAGAATAGAATAGAGACATTTGCGAGATTTCCGCCAGATATTTTCACTGATATCATAAAAGCATATGATAGCGTTTACAAGACCTATGAAAGTTGTATTGATCTCGAGATGTTATTCTTCGATACGCATCATCTAGTTGAAGACTTTTCTGAATTCTTGGCGAAGCAATGGCGACAATCAAGACGGCGCAAAGACAACAGATGCACGGATCGATATGTTTCGAATAGTTTAGCTTGAAATGAAAGGAAGCCGCTTGAAAGCGTTTTTCACATAGCGGCGAAACACACCTAGACCTAATACATTCAGACGAAATAAGCAAATCGTATAAGAAGAGTACCGCCATTTAGTATCTTTCCCCCTTTTAAGTTACGAATCGACTTTGCTATTACATAGAAAAGATATATATCGGACTTTTAAAGTACATTATATACGGTCCGGAAGCTATACTACACCATTTTATTGTAAAAAAAAAAAAAAAAAAAAAAAAAAAATTATAGAAGACAAGTGCAACCCAAATGGCTTGATATTCGTTAGATTCTGGAAAGGAATCCATGTCATATAAAATGTTTGGCAAAACATAATTCTGCCTTGTCTTCGCTGCCTTAGATCGTGCCTAGAAAAGCATAACAAAATTTTTTGCTCTTCTTATTCTTCATAATCGACCAAGTAGACGTAACCATCAATTTCATATCAATTATCCGCATACATGTTCTTTATATATATATAGTCTATGATGATCTAAATTATACAAATGGAACGATAGCATTCGTATACCTTCTGCTTACATAGTACTGCGGAAATATTTCAACTTTATACCTTTTCATGTCTGAGTTGATGCTTATGCAAGACGCTGGGATCACGTGTACCAAATTTACAAATTTTACATTGTAACGGTTTCTCTCCGGTATGTTGACGCATATGTATCTAAATTTAAAGAAATACAATCCCAAAATGTTCAAAAGTTAAGCAAAATCTTTTTAATCACTTAACGCTACACGTATTTATGGATAGCTAGATAATGAGATGAGGCGGTTAATAATGGTCCTTTTTTTTTTTTGCTAAATATTTTCAAAAGTTCTTCACTATTAAAACAATACCTTGCGTGTCGCCTGTGCGTCATTGGAATATTATTATTATTATTATTAATTTCGCCAGAGAAATAAATTCTAAGACTAAACTCTTAAAAGCACTAGCATCTAAGGCTATCGGCTTTTATTAAAAACTCTACCGCACTTGAGATTCGAACCCACGACCACTGAGTTGCTAGTCGAGACTCTTGCCTAATTGGCCACCCAGGCGGATTGTCATTGGAATACAACCGAGCTTTTAGCTTTAGTTTTATTTGTCAACTCTCATCCATGGCCAAAAGAGATGATCAGTTATTTGATGACTGACACATGTCGTATGACCTCGTGACGGTCCAGGAAAGGAAGGGTGCACTCTTGAGCGGAGGCAATGAGCTTCATAATCGAATAATTTGAAATTCGACTTTCGTGACCGTCTGTCCATATTAAATTCTGGGTGTTTGTCTCTGTCTCTCTCTCTCTCTCTCTCTCTCTCTCTCTCTCTCTCTCTCTCTCT